TTAAGGTGCTCTATGGCAGAGACCCTCCAAAGCTTTTGCGCATTGGGTTGGGGCAGACCACCGTGGACTCCGTGGAAGAATCCTTGCAAGCTAGAGATGTGATGCTAGATGAGCTTAAGTTCAATTTATTTCGGGCTCAACAGGTAATGAAGGACAATGCTGATAAGAAGAGAAGGGAAGTGGAATTTCAGGTGGGAGATCGAGTTTTTCTTAAGCTCCAACCTTATCGCCAACGATCCTTGGCCAGAAGACCATTTGAGAAACTTGCTGCCAGATTTTATGAGCCATTTGAGGTGATAGAGCGAGTTGGAAGGGTACCCTATAGGCTGCTTTTGCCAGAGGAATGCAATCCGCACCCCGTATTCCATGTATCTCAGTTGAAAATTGCTCGAGAAAATGTGCCCAGCTCTCCTAATATTCCCATGCAAATCACCCCGGAGTTAGAGCTTGTGGTGGAGCCAGAGGAGGTCTTGGACAGTAGACCAAAATTGGGGCAGAAGGACTGGTTGGACGTGCTTATTAAATGGCATGGATTACCGGAGTTTGAGTCCACCTGGGAAGATGCAGCAGCAATTTACGCTCAATTTCCTCTTTTCCACCTTGAGGACAAGGTGGCGCTTTTGGGGGGGAGTATTGCAATGAGCCCACAACCACCTCCAATCACTATGCTGTACGGCAGGAGACCAAGAGGACAGAGACAGCAGCAGAGAAACACACCCACTACTCTAGCAGCACCAACGGCTCAATAGAGCAGCAGGGCAGCAGGGGACTTTTGGATTATTTGCTTTTCAGTTATGCACATCACTAGAAGACAAGTAGAGTAGCTGTAGCCTTTAAGGCCTTGGCCAATAATGTAATAGAAGTTGAGTAGTATAAATAGTAGAGAGAGAGAGGAAGAGTAGGGTATCCAGAAAATTGTATTGAATATTGGAGAGTGATGGCCTAAAGCCATTGTTACATTTTCAAGCTTTAAGCTTTATCACGTAATTCTACAATCTTTCTTCTATCTTACATTGTGAGACACTGCGAGCGTTCCACGGTGTTGAAAAACTTTAAGTATTAGGGGGTACATCTCTGGGTCATATAATGATGTTTGAAACCATAAATGACCATTATATGTTGTCATAAATTTCGTGGTAGGCTTGAGTTAATGAAATAAGTGCAATTTGTTAACCGGTAAATTGGTCGTTTAAATGTAAATTGGATGGTTCCACCCACCTAATTGGACTACCGGAGGGTATTAGGAATCATAGTAAACATATCGGCAATTTTTATTTTCGGGCGAAAAAAAGTCAAAAAATTCCAAAATTGAAGGCTAATATCCACGCTTTTTGAGAAAATTTTGAGGTTTCGGGACCCGGTCTCGAAAAGGCTTGAGATTTTAAAGTATACATCTTGGGGTCATATAATACTATTTTAAACCATAAATGATCATTATATGTTGTCATAAATGTTCGTGGTAGGCTTGAATTAATGAAATCGATACAAGTTGTAAACCGGTAACTTCACCATTTAAAGGCAAATTGGATGGTTCCACCTACCTAATTGGACTCCCGGATTGTATTAGGGACCATGGTAAACATTCCGGCAATATTTATTTACAAGCGAAAAAAAAATCAAAAAATTCCAAAATTTAAAGCTAATATCCACGGTTTTAAGAAATTTTGGAGGTTTCGAGGCCCAGTTTCGAAAATCCTTGAGATTTTAAGGGATAAATCTCGGGGCCATATAATGCCATTTGGAAACATATATGATCATTATATGTTGTCATAAATGTTCGTGGTAGGCTTGAATTAATGAAATCGGTGTAAGTTGTAAACCGGAAAATTGGCCGTTGCAAATTGGATGGTTCCACCCATCCAATTGGACTCCCAGAAGGTATAAGGGACCATGGTAAACATTCGGCAATTTTTATTTACGGGTTAAAAAAGTCAAAAAAATCCAAAATTAAAGGCTAATATTCACGTTTTTTTGGGAAATTTTGGAGGTTTCGGGACGCGGTGTCGAAAAGATTTGAGAATTTAGGGAATATATCTTGAGGTCATATAATGTGCTTTGGAACCATTTATGATCATTATTTGTTGTCATAAATGTTCGTGGTAGGCTTGAGTTAATGAAATTGGTGCCTGTAAATTGGTAAATTGGCAGTTGATAGGCAAATTGTTGGTTCCACCCACCCAATTGGACTACCAGAGGGTATTAGGGACTATAAAAAGTATTTTAGCAATTTTTTTTTCGGAGGAAAAAAAGTTAAAAAAATCCCAAAATTGAAGGATAATATCAACGCGTTTTGACAAATACAAACTTTAAAAAAAATCGGGTGTACAATAATTATTGAACATCCACTATAAAGATAGACTAGATTGATCAAAAGTTACCCCTAAAATAAATAAGTTACCCTAATATGCATAAAAGTAATTCAATACAAATAAAAATTATTAGTAAAGAATCACATTTTAAATGACTAAGAATCAATTATTTGTGATTAAATGTAATTAAATTACCATTATAAAACTTTTCTTATTGTCTATTTATATAAAAATTGTATTATGTTAAAAGTTACCCAAAAAAAAGGCAAAAAGTTACCCTTATACTGCTCGATGTACAGTAAAATTAGTGTAAACCGGATGTATACAAAAGTTTTTGTTTGACAAATTATTTAGGCTTTGGGGCCCGGTGTAGAAAATCTTTTGACATTTTAGGGGATACATCTCGAGGTCATATAATACTGTTTTAAACCATAAATGATCATTATATGTTGTCATAATTGTTCGTGGTAGGTTTGAGTTAATGAAATCGGTGCAAGTTGTAAATTAGTAAATTTGTGGTTTAAAGGCAAATTGGATGGTTCCACCCACCCAATGAGTCTCCCGAAGGGTATTAAGGGCCATGGTAAATATTTCGTCAATTTTTATTTTCGGGTGAAAAAAGTAAAAAAATTTACAAAATTGAAGGCTAATATCCACGCTTTTTGAGAAACTTTGGAGGTTTCGAAGCCCGTTGTCGAAAAACCTTATGATTTTAGGGGATATATCTCAGGGTCATATAATGGTGTAAGGAATCATATATGATCATTATATGTTGTCTTTAATGTTTGTGGTAGGCTTGAATTAATGAAATTGGTGCAAGTTGTAAATCTGTAAATTGATCGTTTAAAGGCAAATTGGATGGTTCCACCCACCCAATTGGACTCCTGGGGGATATTAGGGACCATGGTAAACATTTCGGCAATTTTCATTTCCGTGCGAAAAGAAGTCAAAAAATTCCAAAATTGAAGGCTAATATCCATGTTTTTTTAGAAATTTCGAAGGTTTCGGGGCCCGGTGTCGAAAATAAATGTGATTTTAGGGGATTCATTTTGAGGTCATATAATGTCGTTTGGAACCGTAAATGATCATTATATGTTGTCATAAATATTCGTGCTAGGCTTGAGTTAATAAAATCGGTGCAAGTTTTGAACCGGTAAATTGACCATTTAAAGGCAAATTGGATAGTTCCACCCGCCCAATTGAACTCCCGGAGGGTATTAGAGACCATGGTAAACATTTCGGCAATTTTTGTTTCTATGCGAATAAAAGTCAAAAAATTCCAAAATTGAAGGTTAATATCCATGTTTTTTGAGAAATTTTGGAGGTTTCAGAGTAAAGCTGTCAATTTGGGTAAACGGGTCGGGTTTGGGTCGGTATGAGTGGGTCGGGTCAATTCGGGTCGGGTCAATTCGGATTAACTCCATAACCTTTGCGGGTCGGGTTTGGGTTGGGTCATGCTATAGTCGGGTCATACTTCTTATCGGGTTTGGGTCAGGTTTATGTTGGGTTAAGAACAGGTCGGGTGAACAATGGGTTGGGTTTAATTCGGGTTTTTACGGGTTAAAACAGGTTAGGGTAATTCTCGGGTTCGGTTCTAGTTAATAATTTTTGAGTTAGAATCAGTTCGGGTCATTCTCGGATTTGAGTCGGGTTCGGTTCAAGTCAATAATTTGCGGGTTATAATCAGATCGGGTCATTTTCAAGTCGGGTTATGTCCAAGTCAATAATTTGCAGGTTACAATCAGGTGGGGTCATTTCCATGTCGGGTCATATTCGAGTTCAACTAATTACAAGTAGATAATTATCATTTTTATCAAGCTAATTATTTCCTTTTACTAATATATATGACAATATACTAGGGAACTATAGTTTATAGTTTAGGAAGATAATTATCTCCTTTGACCATACAACAAATATATACTATATTTAACTCTTAAATTTGAGGATGATGCTCCTTTCTTTTTCTGGCCTGGACCGAGTTGGTCTCCCTAGACAAAATGCTTGATCAACAATAATAAGGTGGTCTAAATTGCATTTAAGGTGATTTGAAATCGGGTTGGGAACAATTTGGGTTGAATTTGGGTCAGGTCAATAACAAGTCGTGTTGATTTTGATTCTGGTTAGTAACAAATCGGGTTGAATTTTTTTGTCGGGTTAGTAATAGGTCTAGTAAAATTCGGGTCGGGTCAATATCAAGTCGGTTTTATTTGGGTTAGGTCTATAACAAGTCGGGTTGATTTCGGGTCGGGTTTGTAACAGGGTGGGTTAAATTCGGGTCGGGTTGAATTCAGGTCAGGTTCGTAACAAGTCGGGTTAAATTCGGGTTTTGACGGGTTTGGGTCAATTTTGGTTCAAATCGGGTTCGGTTCAGGTCAATAATTTACGGGGTTACATTCGGGTCGGGTCATCTCCAGGTCAGTTCATGTTCGGGTTTGAGTCTCACATACTCGGGTCAACTCGGGTCTAGGGTTGGTTTCTGGTCGGGTTAGGTCGGGTTTGGGTCACCATTTTTTCGGGTTCAGATGGGTCGGTTAATAATCGGGTTTGAGTCAGTATTTCGGGTCGGGTAAACTTTTGAGAGCTCTAATTCAGACCACTTTAGGCACAATGGGTTTGCTATCTGTATGATAAAAGATATTTGGGACAGAGAGGGCAGAGACTTATATTCTTCATGATAACTATATGACGCAGGATTGTCTTCTTTGCCCTACTGGTTTTGCTGCGAATATGGCCTTCATGGTTGCAGCAGGAAGCATTGCCTCTCTCTTGGCTTCCGGCAAAATACCTCATAGAACTGAAAAAGTTGCCGTCTTCTCTGATGCCCTTAATCATGCATCAATCATTGATGGTCTCCGACTTGGTGAACGCCTAAATTGTATAGAGACTTTTGTCTACCAACATTGTGACATGTTCCATCTTGATGCACTTCTGTATGTCCTTTTCAATTCTATATATAGACAAGTAGACTTGCAACTACAAGTCTGTGCGTGACTCCTATAATTTGACTTCCTGAATATTGTCTCTCAGATCAGATTGTACAATTTCTAAGAAGGTGGTTGTGACGGATAGGTCAGTCCTACATGTTGTCCCCTATTTACTTTGTTCTTTAGTTACATAACTTTTTCATAATTGGTTATGTTGTAATGACAGCTTATTTAGTATGGATGGAGACTTTGCACCTATGAATGAGCTTGTAACACTTCGGAAGAAGCATAAATTTTTGTTGGTTATTGATGATGTAAGTGCTCCCTATTTGTTTATGCAATAGCGTCCGGGAAATATATATACAATGAATGATGCCTAAATTTTTTTCTTCATTACTCTGTTGTAATTATGTAAATTCAGGCTCATGGAACATTTACTTGTGGTAAAGATGGTGGGGGAGTGGCTCAAGAGTTTGATTGTGAAAGTGATGTTGATATATGTATTGGCACATTAAGTAAGGCCGCAGGTTGCACCGGAGGTTTCATAGCATGCAGGTATCAACTTTAAACAAAGGATTTGTTTTGCTACTTCTGTGGTCACATTGTAGCAAGTCAAGCGAGTGAATATGTCTGTTCACTTCTAGATGAGCACTAGAACCACCATCCAGTGTATGTTTTGCAGTTAGCATGATAAAGGGAGGTATACTTTGGTTTGTACCATATCCTTGCCAAAAACCATATGTTGCTACTACCACTTTTAAAGTGTTAAGATTCGTTACAAGTATCTAGGTATTCTGATAAATATGCATAATTTTTTTTTCCTTGTTGTATTTCATGGGTACATCAAGCATCCTTATCCATTAGAGTTGTTGGGTGGGTGTATTGCCTCTAGTATAGCAAGATAATTGAAGGTCTTGAGCAGCAAAGTACGTAGTTTAGGCCAGTAGGAGACTATTGCTTGGTATGCCAAGTTAGAAAAATGGAAAACCTGCTGATTCTGAAGGAACTTTTTTCATATTTCTGCAAGTTGATGCTTCTCATTGGCAGTCAAAAGCTTTGTCTTTAAAGGAATTAGTGTACATATTCATTCAGCAGTCATGAGTATTATTATTATTTTTTTTTGTATGTGTGGGTGTGGGTGGGGGGATACCACTTGGCATATTCTAGTAGTCGTACTGTTGTCTTTTTTTATTTTCCTGTTTATTGCCCATTGCATTTTTAGAAATTACTTACACATTTCATCAAATTTTTAATGGCAGTAAAAGGTGGAAACAACTTATTATGTCCAGGGGCCGTTCTTTTATATTTTCCACTGCTATGCCGATACCAATGGCTGCTGCTGCCCATGGTAAAGTGACTTAAATCTTTTCTATCTGGCCAACTTGTTGTATGAAGCATTTCCTAGTCATAAGAGAAGTTTATAGCATTACTTTAATTAAAGCGGGCCGGGGGGGGGGGGCGGAAGGGGTTGTGGACTTGTGTTATACTTTCTCCACAGCTCTGCTCCTTCAACAACTTAACTTGTATGTTTTGCATGGAGATAAGGAGAGAAAAAAAGTGGGTGAGTGGATCTTGATTCTTGGATGCAGGGGTCCAACTCAAAGAAAGTTTAGAGAGGACAAACTTACAAATGTTAACTTATTAACTTGGAAGATGCTAGCTTGTTAGTACGTAGGATAAGAGAGTAATTTCAAGGTATTGCAATGTGTGTACACATATGTTGGTATATGCTGTATATATATATAAATGCATAGCATTCTCACCACAGTGACAAGCATTCTAATGACACTACATACCAGCTGCTACTTTTGTTGCTGAGAAAGAAGCCTGGCGTAGAAAAGCAATCCAAGAACGGGTGCAAGACTTCCGAGACCTCACTGGAATCCCCATTACAAGTCACATTGTCTCAATTATAGTGGGAAGTGAAGAGAATTCCTTGCTAGCCAGTCGGTAAGTACTCCTTTGCCTTTCTATTTTCCATAGTTACAAGCAGTTCTGGACTTTACTTAAGCCTTGTCATCCTGCAGGTATATGCTGAAATCTGGATTTCATGTTACTGCAATTAGACCACCAACAGTCCCTCCTAATTCTTGCAGGTTTTTCAGTTTTCTCTTCCGCCCTTTAGTTTCTTCCTTCCATTCAATATACAGATATGCTGCCATGCTGGGGTCATTTTTTCTGTTTTAGTTAGCTTAACCATATGTTGTGTTCTTTATTTGTAGACTGAGAATAACTTTGAGCGCTGCACATACAAGGAAGGATGTAAAGATGCTTGCTGTAGCATTGTCTAATTGTGTAAACTTCCAAGATGTACATGTTGAGACTCCTGAATTACTGGCTAAGCTCTAGAATTCATTTTTTTTATAAGCTAGTATCTTTTGGTTCTACTTAATTACAGTTGTACTATTTATACTAGAACTTAGGTCAGGCTAGATTTGGTCATTGATATTCTTTGACAGACAACTTTGTTTGATATTCTTTGACAGAATTCATTAAGGGAGTAATGAGACATGGTTCACAACAATTTACTACCTTGGTCAATTTGTAAAACTGTGAATTTATCAAGGTATGCTATAATCTGATACTCCACAAATCCAGTGTTTGATCCCCCAACAGTCTGACGGTTTTTGACATCTCGTCTCTAACACAGTCTGACACAGATAGGTAGTTTTCTGTACTACATCAAAGGTGGCATTTCATGATGTATGCCATTTTTTTTTTTCTGTTTTCTGTAAATTACACTCACTCTTCTTTGGATCCCAGTTTCAACTGTCTTGAATTTTTTCAAGTTTGCGTGATCTTAATCATAGGAATTCACTCGGCAACTTAAGGCAACTCCTTTACATCACAATGCGAGGGAAGTTTGCATAAACCTTGTCATATAATCATAGCCTATAGCCTCACAGATATTCCGTCAGCTACTGAAGGCATCTCCTCTGTAGCACATTGTGAGGGATGGGTCAAGGTCCTCAAGGAGACAAGACGAAGAGGGGGCGAGAGGAAGAGGGATCCCTCATATCCCTTTGCCCATTTCATAATTCATATGCAAACATGAGAAATAGTACTCTTGACTCTTTCTCTCCTTTCTCCTCCAAATACATCGCACCAAATACGATATCTATCCATTTTCCATAAGTCTTCTTCAATCGTATGAGAAAATAACTATAGATCTTAATTAATAGCATGCAAAAAGAAAAAGAACATGCATACCTTCAATTGTGAAATAGATGTGCTTTACAAAAGTTTCATAAAGAGTAAAATTCTTTTAATAAGAGAAATTGTTCCAGCAAAATAGTACATGATCCAGGAGTCTTATAATCATACGCCGTCTTCTTCAATCCGTATATGATAATAAGAATTAGTACTCCATATGAGATAGAAGACTAGAGTAGTTGGCTAATTCTTTGACTTTCAAGCGTGAGGACAGAGGTCGAATCTCGCCAAGCTTATTCTAAGAGGAATTTCCCTTAAATCCATCCTTCTAAAATGGACCTTCTCCTTACCCAAAAAAAAAAAAAGAATTAGTACTCTATATTAGATTCCTATAAGAGTGGTTACTGTATTTTTCATTAACAGGACATCATGTTGAATAATATAAATGTTAATTAACCACATTGTATAGGCAAGTGATGTCGATATGTCCGAGTGGTTAAGGAGACAGACTTGAAATCTGTTGGGCTTCGCCCGCGCAGGTTCGAACCCTGCTGTCGACGTTATTTTTTTTTTTTTTTTCCTTTTAAAATTAAACTTTAGTTTAAGATTCTTATTTAAACCCAGTACATATTAACTAATTGTGTTAGAAGTTGGCACCTTTTAATATCCAAAAAAGTAGGAAACATGATTCCAAAGGATGGTTCGTGCTGTCGGTGTACCCATGTGAGTCCAACAATCCAAATAATAAAGAAGTAAAAGTCCCACATCGACCATTTGGAGAAAAAACTGCAGGTTTATAGTCCATAATCAGTACAATACTGAGCACGACCTTACTTGAACAGGATCTGTTCTACAGGATCGTACCTCTGTATCCTTGAGTTCTAAGGAGACAGAAAACCAAGTCTGGTGGATGAACTATGACCGAGTGGTCAGAGCGTGATTAACAGCTACCTTTGGTTCTCGGACCACTGGTGCCGTAGATGATCGTTCCCCAGCTCCTCTGTGAACTTGGGATGATCACACGGTTGTCTGACAGACTCCCTTCTTTTTTGTTTCATTGAAAATTAGCAGTTGATAAGCATGACTTCGACTTACTGAGCTAAGCTTCTTGAACTTATAATTTGCCTGAGTTATAGTCTTGAAGATTCAATTCATATGAATTTTTATTAGGAGTATCTACTATTGTATAATTTGTATTAGTGAGAAATTTTAAGTCCCACATCGGTCACTTATATATGTCATAGGCTCGTAGCATATTATGGTATATATGCACTTGCAAAGTTGCAAGGCATACATTTTAGTTCAACCTGCTGATCTGTTCTATAGGCGAGTTCAATTCTCCCAAGTGCTCGTATACAGGTAGCAGACTAGCAATCAGGTTACCACAACTATCGAAAAATTTGTCTACAAATTAGGGACAAAATAAAAAATCCGTCTCTAAATTAGAGACGAAATTGAAATCCGTCTCTATTTGATGTCATTTTAGCAACAAATAATTTTATACATTACAACAAAAAGTAGCTTACGTATAAATTAACAACAATATGTAACACAACTCGTTTCCAATGGCAACAAACAAAATAATGCGTTATCAATTAGCAACAATAATTTAGAAGACTTGTTTCTAATGGAAACAATTCAAAAATTCATTGTATTTGTTTGTTTCTAAATCAATACAAATAAAATATTTGTTGTCATAGTTTGTTACTATTTGGCAACAAGAGAAAAATATGATGTCGTCTGTAACAACTAGTAAGACAATTTGTTTTAAAAAGCAACAAATCAAAAATATGTAGCCATTGTTTATTAAAAGCTAAAGCATAAAATGTCGCTTTTAATTAGACAATAAAAAAATTTAGATTCGTTGCTATTTAGCAACACTTTAAAAATCTGTTGCCAAACTTAGTTGCTAAAAAGCTTTTATTTTTGTAGTGATACAGTCTTAGAAGGCAACGACTTCTAAGTTTGCTTTTAGAAACAACTATCTCTAAACCCTAGCCATTTTATATTGTACTTATAAGCTGGTAGTCATTAGTCACTTGATGCAACTATACAAGAATATTACAACAAATAATTATTCAAAGTTTTGTAAGTCCAAAATTTGTGAATGATGCGTGGGATCAATTCGTTTTTGACCAGTTGGAACATTTGAAAAATCACCTTTGTGCCCCATTGGACGGGTTACGGGTATAGTATAGCCAATCAGCAAAGAATTTGGTGTCCTAGTTCTTAACTAGTCAGGGAATCATCAAAATTAGTTTAGCCAGTGGACTTCAAAAAGTTTTCCACCTTATTTTTAACTATACATTATCCTACTTTGTATAGTAATAATACAATGCATTAATACAAGTATTTAACAAAAACATATATTATACTTTGTAATTTAATATTCATGTTTACATCCATATAAAAATGTGCTTAATCTTAATGCTCAACTTGCAACTTTATTTGTAATGTACCTTTATAGGATGTTTCTTTGCCTAATAGCCTTATATTCTTGGCTCTTGATATACACCAACAACATTATATATTTATATTGATTCTATTAACTCATGCAATTTTATGTAGATTTTATTAATTTTTGACACGAAGCTCAACCCTAACTCCCGAGTTTATAATAATCTATTTTTCGGCCCAATTTCTAGCACAACCCTTGATCAGCTCTATTACTTTATGTAAATTGACTTAAAAAAAATTATTCCAAGTTCCTACCATTTGATTTGTGGATTATGCCCATCAAAATTTACGCACAAAATAAAGAGAAAAGTATTTCTTACCAACCAAAGTGGGTCCTCAATCCTAAATTTTGTTCATTTAATTTGTATAGCCACCATTGACCCTAAATACATACTAATAGAAAAATCTAAAGTAGGAAAAAGAGAAGAAGGATCAATTGTTCTATTAATATGACCAAATTGTCAATTCTTCTATTATCTTTCCACTTATAAAAAGTATACTCTCTTTCACTATCCTTTCATTATTCTCATGTCAACTTTCTTTTCACTTTTTTTCCACCATCAAATCTAACAAGAAAAATCATAACACCCATCAAAATTTTATTTCTTAATTCCATAATTTATTTTATATATCACATACTATATAATATACACCAATTAATACATAATATATCACACTTCTACAAATTTACAATAACATACATATAAAGTTACAAGAATAATATGAAAATTAGTTAAGACATGAAAATAAGAAGTGGAATATGGTGTAAAATGGTGTTTTCTATCATCTCTCTTCTGGGGTTGGCTTGCATCTTGTACTTCATCTTAAACCGTTCAGTTGAATCACCAATCAAGCATCAGACGGTGGATGTTTACTTTAATTCGACGGCCGAGATTGCTCGGACCGATGATGATTATATCTGCGCCACACTGGATTGGTGGCCTTCTGATAAATGTGACTATGATTCTTGTAGTTGGGGTGAAACCTCTCTTCTCAATCTGGTATTCTTTTTTACCTTTTTTTCTTCATCTAGTTTCATTGCTATGATTACGTTGTGGTGAATGAATACATGAAGTATAGTGTTTTTGTATACTTCTATTCTCTTTATATATACAAGTTTAGCATTCATGTATTCATAACCCGATACTGAACTTAGCTGGGTTATAATACTCTCTTCGTTTTCAAATAAAAGTCTCATTTGCCTTTTGCATACATGCTTGAGGCATAAACACTTTTAATGACTCGACAAAAGTTTTTCATAACAAGATGCTTTTGAATGTTAATAAACTTGTATATATGAATAGTACCCAACTTTAGTTAAGCTTTGGTTGATTAACTCATCACCTAGATATGACTGAAATAGAATTCTTCCCTCTAAATCAAAATGCTAAGTTAGAAGAAGAAAGCACTTAAAATCTAGAATAGCTGATAACAGGATCAAAATTGATTAAAGAAAACTTAAAAACAAAAAATTATAGATACAAATAGTATGAACCGAATTTAAAAAGTATGGCTAAAGCGATACATAAGGATGATTGGATGAGAGAATAGTAGACTAGTAGTACAACACTATTTGTCATTTATCAACTTTATTTAAGAATTATTTGTTTCAACAAAATAAGTTTGCACTACTGTATATTATTAGCTTTATTTTCCATTTGAAGTTCACATTGGTTGGTCCATTAAATGAGGCCAACAATACGAACGTGGAAAATGACTTCCATCCATTGAGGAGAAACAAACTAAATTTCGGAAAATTCCCTGTTTCTCATGGTGAGAATTGTTTCTCATGGTGAGAATTGTTTCTCATAATGACATTTTCGTAAATAAATTAACAATTTTTTCATTATTGTGGGCTCCACAGTTGAATAAAGTTGAATAAAATTGTTGGTTTATTTACGAAAATGTCATGTGAGAAACAAAATTTGTTTCTCACCATGAAAAACTGGGGCATCCTCCTAAATTTCTTCCTCACAAACACAAAAGTTTTCAAAGATTATGTCAAAAATACTCATTTGGGAAAAAATTTCCTTTCTTGTTGGGGATGAACAACCCTTTTAAAAAAAATTACTCGTGATGTGCATCCATAAGTACACTTTAACTTAAATAGAACGGTACGTACACCCATATTGGCAAATGAAGGACATAGGCCTCACGTAATCGAAACATACTAACAGGAGCACCATTTTCAGTACTTATTAGGTGGGTAAAATACTTTGCTTTGTTTATGTAAACAATACATAATCATTTCAATAAAAATGGGAAATCATGACCACTTGAGTTTGCTATGTGCTTTGTATATGGCCTACCCTATATGCAATGACTATGATGAAGCACGCTGATTATTACAACTTGTGACAAAAGGAATACGCAATTATATGTTTATATTACTATCAATGATAATCAAATGACTAGCTAGGCAAATTGGATTAAAAACTACAAGTAAATGATTTCAGTTTTCACTTTTTTTCTAATTGCATTTATCTTTTTTTTTTTACAAAAAAAAAAAAGAAAAAGAAGATAAAAAAGAAGATAAATGCATTTATCTTTGAAGAATTTAATTATCTACTCGCTTTCTCATGGGATAAGCCATTCTATAATCTTTCCAATTAGCCTAACAACTTTAGCCCGAGCCCAAATAGGTTAGGTTGATCGAGCGGGGGTGGCCAGGTGGGTCACTGGGTCATGGGCTAAGTCTTTGAGTTATGTTCATGCATGAACAAGCCGGCCGGGTTAGATTTGACAAAATTATAGGCCTACCTATACTAGCCCAACCCAATTACATGGTCCAAATCTAGGCTCAATCCAACTTATTAGCCTACCTTTGAACTGGGCCAAGCCCACCTTTACTAACAGTAGTTGATTAATTCTTAAGCATGGTACCCAAACTTTGGATCAAAGAATGCACACGTATTTCATTTGAGGTTTCACTGATTTCTTCTAATATGTGTCTTTGCTAATTGTAGGATCTGAACGACACAATTTTGTCAAATGCTGTAAAGGGTAAGCTCGGTGCTCTACGCTGTACTAATCTCCAGCATATGGATATATGTAATAATGTTTTCATAAGATTTATGTGATCGTCGTGGTATTGCAGCATTTTCTCCCCTGAAAATCAGAATGGGCGGAACATTACAGGATAGGCTAATCTACCAAACAAACGAGCAACAACCCTGTAACCCATTCATCAAAGACTCCTCTCAATTTCTTGGTTTCTCACAAGGCTGTTTGCCCATGGCGCGATGGGATGACCTTAACAGATTCTTCAAAGAGACGGGGTATGTACTAGTTTATTAACAAATTTCCTTGCCAACAATACATATCTAAACAAATGCATCTTTCGAGCCTTCTACAAAACTTGATCAAAATCCAAGTAAAAATTTCCGATGTCTTAAAAGGTTATGTGGCATTTGTATGACTAGGGCTGTGGTCACTTTCGGGTTGAATGCACTGACAGGAAGAACTATAAACCCAGATGGGTCAACAAAAGGAGCTTGGGATCCCAGCAATGCTGAATCACTTATAAGATACACAGTTAACAAGGGATACAGTATCTATGGATGGGAACTTGGTAAGGTGCTCTAAGTATGAATTGCTCACAAGATTTCAAGCGAATCAAAGTACTCGTTCCAAAATTATAACATATTGTTAATGTTCTGAACTATTGATAGGAAATGAACTCAGTGCAAGGGGAATAGGTGCAAGAGTAACAGCTCACCAGTATGCTTCAGATGTAAAAATTCTGCAAAATCTGATTGAAAAGGTGTATGTAGGCTCTGAGACAAAGCCTCTTATACTTGGCCCTGGAGGATTTTTTGATGCTACATGGTTCGCAGAGTTTATTGGCAAAACAACCAAGTCTCTCCAAGCAATCACCCACCATGTCTATAATCTTGGTGCAGGTAAAGTGGTAAACCACTCATTCTCTCAAAATCATCTGACTCGTAATATTAAGGAAATCAGCACAACCTACCAGAAACAGTCTCCCTATCAGATCAACTGGCAAAGTATTAGTATAACAAATAAGGCATTACAGCTATGCATCTTGACCAGTAGGACTAGCATGAAAATAATAATTGCATACTCTGGAAGAAGGTAGGACTTTATAGGTAATTCGATAGCAAATATAACCTTACCGTGAACCCTTTTTTTTTTTTATTTGCAGGTGACTACAATGGCCTTGTAGGTAATATATTAGATCCATCCCACCTCAACGGGGAAGCAAGAGTATTCAAAAAACTCCAACAGGACATAAGGAATTCAGGGACCTCAGCTGTTTCTTGGGTTGGTGAAGCAGGTGGTGCTTTTAACAGTGGTCGAAATCATGTTACAAATACTTTTGTGATGAGCTTCTGGTAAACATTCCACTCAATTAGCCACTGAAACTCAGCTAAATTTTCGATGAACCTTGGCTTAAGCTTCCAGGCTTTTAATAAACAAAATCAGGTACTTAGATCAGCTTGGACTGGCTGCAACATATAATACCAAAACTTATTGCAGACAAACTTTGATAGGTGGAAATTATGGGCTTCTCGATAGATCTAATTTTGTGCCAAACCCTGATTATTACAGGTACTCTAACAATAAGTTTTATAGCTATAATTGTTATGCAAGCAAAGCATATATTTTAAATTGCAGCAAATTTGTTTTATTACTGACTTGATAATATTTGTAGCGCTCTTCTTTGGCATCGTTTGATGGGAAAACAAGTTCTCTCTACAAGCGTTTCTGGGACGAGTAATTTACGAGCATACACTCATTGCTCGAAGCAATCTGTGAGTACTACCAATTGCCATATCAAGTTTATCTTATTACATATGGATTTGAAAATTTTACACACAATATTTTAGCCACTTCAGTTAAAACAATAAGAAGCATTTCCTAAAACAATAATACTCGTATATCTTCTTGAACAAGGGAAAAAAAACTGTCACCCCTACTTCAAAAAGTATATGCCTAACTAAAGACATCCATAATTGAAACATTTAGCTTGAAATGGAAGGTTTAACTATACATTTTAAACTAGATCAAGTATATCATGCCATTCTTCTTCATTTTAAAGTTTTTTATGAATAAATTACATTGAAACTTTGAAAGGTGAAAATTCAGTAGAGGAAAGACAGGAAGTTGTATTTGACAAGGCTAAACTTGATCTGACATACCGTATTTATCCATTCAGCAAGGGATCACATTGCTCTTAATCAACCTTGATGCTGAGGCGACCCTTAGAGTCAACATATCTACAGAAACAGGCAGCATTTCAGCAGAAAACAGCGGACCATTTGCTAGGAAGTCCAAATTTGGTAAAATGCCAATATTTACTCAGAATATAAGAGAAGAGTACCACCTGACAGCCCCAGAAAGAGACTTGAGCAGCAAAAAAATGCTCCTAAATGGGAGAGTTTTGACTGTTGAATCCTCCGGAGGCATCCCAACACTGAAACCTGCAATTGTACATATAAATGATCCGATAACTATAGCCCCATTTTCCATTGCATTTGTCCATATACCAAGCATTGTTTCAAACGTTTGTAAATAAAAACCGATACAAATCATTATAGATTACAAATACTAGGGAAACACAGCATAAATGTACCAAATTTAAATCAAATATCAAAGTGAAGCTTTATAGTCCTGAAACAGTCTCGTCTCAACTGTATTTGTTACAAATCCAAATCTGACTTCCATGCTGAAAAGCAAGGCAAGGGGTCAACAAAGTATTGAGGCAAGAAATCATATAGTAAATTGGAAACAATATGGTGAGTCATTCGAACTTGTACATAAGAAGAGCACTTGTAAACTAATAAACACAAAATGTTTCCAGTAATAGTATTAGATTATTAAGCCGCATATCTTATGCTCAACCTCAAGTTTTTTCACCAGAAAACTCAAAATAATCTACAGAAAATTTCAAAATTTATAAATAATGTCTCCTTGACTTTGAATTTCTGATATGGTATAAAAACAATCATGTTACATTGACTCAGCTAGCCATTGTTGGCACTTGTTGTAGTGCAGTGGGAACCACAGGTCTCCACGTCGTTCCTTCTGGGCTGTCCATCAGAGTAATTCCCACTGCAGCCAGTTCTTTCCTTATTGCATCTGACTTCTCATATTCTTTGTTCTTCCTTGATGTGTCTCTCTCTTCAATCTTTTGCTTAACTTCAGCTTCTGAGAGCTTGGCACGTTTCAAAGCCTTCTCTTTGAGCTGATGTAAAGCCTGCATCACCAAAAGTCGACATTAGTTAATGTTTTTCCAGGTTTTTTTGGCTGCATTGGATCTAAAAACATCAACAAAGTTTACCTCTGAGTAATTTGATGGCATCAACCCAAGAGCAGCCAGCACATTTCTGATTGCCTTCTCTAAGGCTACAAGTGATTCAATTCGCTGCTCACACTTCTTTCCCTGTAGTGCAAAATGTTAAAAATTTATCAAAAAGCTGAAATTTTCCCTTCATGATACCAAACCAGAAAGACATTTCTTCCCATAACAGAATTATACTGGAGAATTGGATGGTAAAAAAGAATTGAGTAAAAGGATAACCACTCAAAAGAGCATCCATATATTTCCTGACCAAAGCAACCAAATGCACAGATCACAACTTTCAAATTATCATCAATTCATCACCCAGACTTATCCAAGCATTTCCCATTTACAATTCCCCTTTATTTATTTCAAGTTACATGATACATGACTATCATCTTTTACAGTTCAGAGAAGCAGATATCCATCTTTTTCAAGCAAAACCGTCATTCCTATATTAAACCCCAGCAGATAGGTTAACAAAGCTCCAGCAAGTTGACTTAATTTAATTAACCAATATAACAAAAAAAAAACTTCCATGACTTGTTATTGAACACCCATAAAAGAACAAAATGACTTGGCAGACTCGACTTCATACTCACATCAGATGCTACGCCCCCCTTTTGATATAAGGAAGAGGAAAGAAAAGGAGGGGAGGAAGAAACAAGAAAGATAATCTCTGAACATTATATACAGTACTATTCTTTTATTAGCTTGGGAAAATCCAATCTGGGGCAAAGTCATAATAGTTCAGCCCAGTAAATTAACATAATGGCCTCATATTTAACCTAGGTAAAGGAAAATTGGGATTAGTCAGAATTACATACCTTACGAGTATGAAGAAGATCATTCATGGTCTTCAACGGATCAGACAGTCCAGCAAGAACAACTGGAGTGAGGAGATCATCTGACATGGAATTCACAAAACTATTTTGGAAATCATTGATGCAACTTGCAATATCCTGGGGAATTGAGTTTTTTAAACTAGCCTTGTCATGCTCGCCCAGAAGAACTTGACTATCATATAATGTCTGCATAGAGATCACACTAGATATTAATAACAAAGCCAGTAGGAGCAACAGAACCACCTAAGTTTTGCCCATATCATAAGCATAAAACTACATCAAAAGTGCATAGAAAGGAACTAAAAAAGAGAAGCAGTAAGTAAAAGGGCATAAAAATTCATGCCATAATTTCAACATTCCATAATCATGCAAGGAGGACAGGCTATTTCCATTTACTTCATATATAAGGAGTGAATTACTCCATATAAAAGGAGTGAAGGGCCCCAAGTTTATGTTAAGAGGGCATTATTAATTACCATATATAGAATTATTTGAAAGTGTCTAAAGATTAAAACAACATTTTCAAATAACAGTAATTATTGCCAGACATACCTGGTATATGTAGAAAATACGTTCTGATGCATACTCTAGTAAGGCATCAGAATAATTTATTGGAGAGCGATAGTGGGTTCCCATGAGGAAGAGTCTCAAGGCAAGTGGGTGATAAAGTTCTATAACCTGGTAAGACCAATAGCTTACTAGATTCAGTACAACAGCCAGAAACAGAAGGGTTTTGAGCATGAGGTGAATAAAGATCACAATCCACAATAATTAGAACTGAAAATCTTATGCAGCTAAATCTTTGTACCTGCCGGATTGTGAAGAAGTTACCAAGAGATTTGGACATTTTTTCCGAATTTATAGTGACAAATCCATTATGTACCCAGTAGCTTATATTACTTTCACGACATGCAGCACAGCTCTGAACGATTTCGTTTTCATGGTGAGGAAACATAAGGTCCATCCCACCACCATGTATGTCAAAAGAGTAGCCCAGATATACAGCACTCATAGCACTGCATTCAATATGCCAACCAGGTCTTCCAGGACCCCATGGACTCTCCCAAAAGGGCTCTCCTTCTTTGGCAGACTGTAAATATAGCATAGTTTGGTAAAAGGTCATATATCAAAAGCAGCCAAACAGCACAGCAAAGTAAAACTAAAAGTTACCACCTTCATCAACAACAAACAGTCAAAAACCAGCTTCTGCATGCATCTTTTTAAGGGAGATAAAAGTACAATTAAAATATTTTGCACTCTTTTAGATGTGAACAGTGAGAAGTATAAGACAAGAATAAGAAGACATTGATGCAACAAGGCTCAGATAAAAAGAATCACATACGACACTATGGCTAGATATCCTCAAAAGTCTAGGCATGGTATACTTTGAAGTGTACACGTATCATGTTATATCCAATATTGAGGTGTTTATATATTATACCAATTAATTCCCAATAGGAATTAGAATTGATGTAGAATATAGGAGAGAACAAAACACAACACAAGGAACAAAACACGTAAGCTACTACAGAGTACAGACTCACTTCACTCTCCAATTCTATCTGATACAATTAAGTGGTTACACACTTACACTTCCCTTTTATTAAAACCAAGGAAATGATTGGAAATTCAGAGAGAGAAATGGAAAAGGTGAAATCTTGAAAGAGGAAAAAAAAGTTTAAAAATAAATAGTGGGTCCAAAAGAAGAAATACATCAATACAGGAATAAAAAGGGAAAAGAAATGAATTTTTTAAAAAATTGTAGAACGCAACTCAAAATGGAAAAAGGTGAAGTCTACAGTGTAACCATAATCCAATATAGGAAAGCATAATCATTGATATGAATTGGGGGAAGTAGTAACAACCTAGATACAACTAGAGCTGTCAATTTGGGTAAACGGGTTGGGTTTGGGTCGGGTAAGAGTGGGTCGGGTCGACTCGGGTCGGGTCGATTCGGATTAATTCCATAACCTATGCGGGTCGGGTTTGGGTTGGGTCATGCTTAAGTCGGGTCATACTTCTTATCGGATTTGGGTCGGGTTTAGTTCGGGTTAATAACAAGTCCGATGAACAATAGGTCGAGTTTAATTCAGGTTTTCACGGGTTAAAACGGGTTAGGGTAATTCTAGAATTCGAGCCGGGTTCGGTTCAAGTCAATAATTTGCGGGTTAGAATCAGGTCGGGTCATTCTCAGGTTTGAATCGGGTTCGGTTCAAGTCAATAATTTGCGGATTATAATCAGGTCGGGTCGTTTTCAAGTCGGGTCATTCTTGGGTTCAAGTCAGATTCGGTTCAAGTCAATAATTTGCGGGTTATAATCAGGTTGGGTCATTTCCAATTCGGGTCATTCTCGATCGGATTCAAGTCGGGTTATGTTCAAGTCAATAATTTGCAGGTTACAATCAGGTCGGGTCATTTTCAAGTCATAACATATTCGGGTTCAATTAACTATTAATAGATAATTATCATTTTTGTCAAGCTAATTATTTCCTTTAACTATAATATAAATAGCAATATACTAGAGATATATATTCTATAATTTAGGAAGATAATTATCTCCTTTGACCATACAACAAATATATACTATAATTAACTCTTAAATTTGAGGATGATGCTCCTTTCTTTTGCTGGATTGACTTGGTCACCCTAGAAAAAATGCTTTGATCAACAATAATAAAGTGGTCTAAATTGCATTTAAGGTGATTTGAAATCGAGTCAGGAACAATTTGGGTTGAATTTAGGTCGGGTTAATAACAAATTGTGTTAATTTCGAGACAGGTTAGTATCAGATCGGGTTAAATTTTTTGGTTGGGTAACTAATAGGTCTGCTAAATTCTGGTCGGGTCAATAACAAGTCGGATTGAATTAGGGCCAGGTCAATAACAAGTCTGGTTGAATTCGGAACGGGTTTGTAACAGGTTGGGTTAAATTCGGGTCGAGATAGGAAGGGGTCAAGTTGAATTCAGGTTAGGTAAGTAACAAGTCGGGTTAAATTCGGGTTTTGACGGGTTAAAACGGGTTTGGGTCAACACTCCCGGAAGGTATAAGAGACCATGGTAAACATTTCGGCAATTTTTATTTTCGGGCGAAAAAAAGTTAAAATATTCCAAAATTGAAGGCTAATATCCACGCTTTTTGAGAAATTTTGGAGGTTTCAGGGCCCGTTGTTGAAAAGCATAGAGATTATAAGGGATAAATCTCGGGGTCATACAACGCCGTTTGGAACCATATATGGTCATTATATGTTGTCAAAAATGTTCGTAGTAGTCTTGAATTACTAAAATCGGTGCAAGTTTATAATCGGTAAATTTGCAATTTAAAGGCAAATTGCATGGTTCCACAAACCCGATTAGATTCCCGGGAGGTATTAGGGACCATAGTAAACATTTCGATAATTTTTATTTCCGTGCTAAAAAAAGTCGAAAAATTCCAAAATTAAAGGTTAATATCCGTGTTTTTTGAGAAATTTCAAAGGTTTAGGGCCCGATGTCGAAAAGACATGAGATTTTAGGGGATACATCTCGAGGTCATATAATGTCTTTTGGGACCATAAATGATCATTATATGTTGTCATAAATGTTCGTGGTAGGCTTGAGTTAATGAAATCAGTGCAAGTTGTAAATTAGATTGTTTCACGCACCCAATTAGACTCCCAGAGAGTATTAGGGAACATGGTAAATATTTCGGCAATTTTTATTTAAGGGCGAAAAAAGACAAAAAAAATCCAAAAGTGAAAGATAATATCCACGCTTTTTGAAAAATTTTAGAGGTTTCAGAGCCCGGTGTCAAAAAGGCTTAAGATTTTAGGGGATACATCTCGGGGTCATATAATGTAGGTTGGCACCATATAAGACCATTATACGTTGTCATAAATGTTCGTGGTATGCTTGAATTAATAAAATCGGTGCAAGTTGTAAATCATTAAATTGGTTGTTTAAAGACAAATTGGAAGGTTCCACCCACCAAATTAGACTCCCGGTAACCATGGTAAATATTTCAACAGTTTTAATTTTCGGGCGAAAAAATTCAAAATTGAATGCTAATATCAACTTTTTATGAGAAATTTTGAAGGTTTCGGGGCTCGGTGTTGAAAAGTCTTGAAATTTTAAGGGATATATATCTCGGGGTCATATAATGTCGTTTAGAACCATATATGATCATTATTTGTTGTCATAAATGTTCGTGGTAGGCTTGGATTAATGATATCGGTGCAAGTTGTAAACCGGAAAATTGGTTGTTTAAAGGCAAATTGGATGGTTGCACCCACCCAATTGGACCCCCAGAGGGTATTAGGGATCATGGTAAACATATCGACAATTTTTATATCCACGCGAAAAAAAATTCAAAAATTGAAGGCTAATATCCACAATTTTTGAGAAATTTCGAATGTTTTGAGGCCCGGTGTCGAAAAGCATTGAGGTTTTTGGGGATACATCTCGGGGTCATATATTGCCATTTGGAACCATATATGATCATTATATGTTGAGATAAATGTTCATGGTATGCTTGAGTTAATGAAATCGGTGCAAGTTGTAAACCGCTAAAATGATCGTTTAAAGGTAAATTGGATAGTTCCACCGACCCAATAGGACTCTCGACAGGTATTATTGACCACTGTAAACATTCGCGATTTTTATTTTTAGGCGAAAAATAAGTCAAAAAATACGAAAATTAAAGGCAAATATTAGCGGTTTTTAAGAAATTTTGGAGGTTTCGTGGACCCGTGTCGAAAATCCTTGAGATACTAGGAGATAATCTTGAGATTATATAATACCGTTCGGAACCATATATGATTATTATATGTTGTCATAAATATTCGTGGTAGGCTTGAGTTTATGAAATCGGTGCAAGTTGAAACCAGTAATTTGGCTGTTTAAAGGCAAACATTTCGGAAATTTTTATTTCCGGGCGAAAAAAATCAAAAAATTCCAAAACTGAAGGCTAATATCCACGGTTTTTTGGAAATCTTGGAGGTTTCGGGGACCGATGTCAAAAAGCCTTTAAATTTTAGGGGTTACATCTCGGGGTCATATAATGCCGTTTGAAACCATATATGATCATTAAATGTTGTCATAAATGTTCGTGGTAAACTTAAATTAATCAAATCGGTGCACTTTATAAACCGGTATTTCGGCTGTTTAAAGGCAAATTGGATGGTTCCACACACCTAATTGGACTCCTGGGAGGTATTAGGGAACATGATTCAACAATTTTTGTTTACGGGCGAAAAAAATTCCAAAACTGAAGGCTATTATCCACGCTTTTTGAGAAATTTTGAAGGTTTAGGGGCCTGGTGTTGAAAAGTCATATATGTTGTTTGGACCCAATATGATCATTATATGTTGTCATAAATGTTCGTGGTAGGAGTGAGTTAATGAAATCGATGAAGTTGCAAACCGGTAAATTTGTCGTTTAAAGGCAAATTGGATGGTTCCACGCACTAATTGGACTCCCGGAGGATATTAGGGACCATGGGAAACATTTTGGCAATTTTTATATCTGAGTGAAAAAAAAAATCAAAATATTCCAAAATTGAAGACTAATATCCACGCGTTTTGCGTAAATTTAAAGGTTTAGGGGTCTGTTGACGAAAATTCATGAAATTGTAGGGAATACATCTCGGGGTCATATAATGTTGTTTGGATTCATATATGAACATTATATATTGTCATAAATGTTTGAAGTAGGATTGAGTTAATGAAATCGGTGCAAGTTGTAAATCGGTAAATTTGTCATTTAAAGGCAAATTGGATGTTTCCACCCACCCAATGGGACTCCTAGAGGGTATTAGGGACCGCGGTAAACATTTCGGCAATTTTTATTTTCGGGCAAAAAAAAGTTAAAAAATTCCAAAATTGAAGGCTATCCACACTTTTTGAGAAATTTTAGAGGTTTCGAGGCCCGTTATAGAAAAACATTGAAACTGTAAGGGATACATCTCGAGGTCATACAATGCCGTTTGGAACCATATATGATCATTATATGTTGTCATAAATGTTCTTAGTAGGCTTGAATTAGTGAAATTGGTGCAAATTGTTAATCGGTAAATTTGCCATTTAAAGGCAAATTGGATGGTTACACCCACCTAATTGGACTCCCGGAGGGTATTAGGGATTATGGTAAACATTTCGGTAATTTTTATTTACAGGTGAAAAAAAATTCTTAAAATTCCCAAATTTAAGGCTAATATTCACGCATTTTGAGAAATTTTGGAGGTTTCAAGGCCGGGTGTCGAAAATCCTTGAGATTGAAGGGGATACATCTTAGGCTCATATAATGTTGTTTAGAACTATATATGATCATTATATGTTGTCATTAATGTTCGTTGTAGGATTGAGTTAATAAAATCGGTAAATAGGTCGTGTAAAGGCAAATTGGATGGTTCCACCTACCCAATTAAACTTCTGGAGGGTATTAGCGATCATGGTAAAACATTCAGTAATTTTTATTTCCGTGCGAAAAAAAATCAAAAATTTTAAAAATTGAAGGCTAATATCCACGTTTTTTGAGAAATTTTAAAGGTTTCAGTGCCCGGTGTCGAAAAGTCTTGAGATTTAAGGGATACATATCAGGTTGGTTGAAACCATATAAGATCATTATATGTTTTCATAAATGTTCGTGATAAGCTTGAATTAATGAAATCGATGCAAGTTGTAAATCGGTAAATTGGTTTATTAAAGGCAAATTGAATGGTTCCACCTACCCAATTGGACTACTAGAGGATATTAGTGACCATGGTAAACATTTTGGCAATTTTTATTTTCGGACGAGAAAAAAGTAAAAAAATTCCAAAATTAAATGCTAATATCGAAAGAAATTTTCAGGGCTCAAAAAGTCTTGAAATTCTAGGGGATATATCTCGATGTCATATAATGCTGTTTGGAACCATATATGATCATTATTTGTTGTCATAAATGTTCGTGGTAGGATTGAATTAATAATATCGGTGCAAGTTGTAAACCGATAAATTGGTCGTTTAAAGGCAAATTGTATGGTTGTACTCACACAATTGGACTCCGGGAGGGTATTAAGGAATATGGTAAATATTTCGGCAATTTTTATTTACGTGCGAAAAAAAAAATCCAAAAGTGAACGCTAATATCCACGCTTTTTGAGAAATTTTAGAGGTTTCGGAACCCGGTGTCGAAAAGGCTTGAGATTTTAGGAGATACATCCCGGGGTCATATAATGTCGATTGGAAACATATAAGATCATTATATGGTGTCATAAATGTTCGTGGTAGGCTTAAATTAATGAAATCAGTGCAAGTTATAAACCGGTAAATTGGTCGTTTAAAGGCAAATTGGATGTTTCCACCCACCCAATGGGACTCCCGGAAGGTATTAGGGTCCACGGTAAACATTTCGGCAATTTTTATTTCCAGGTGAAAAAAAGTTAAAAAATTCAAAGATTAAAGGCTAATATCAGCGTTTTTTTGAGAAATTTTAGAGATTTCAGGTAGAGCTATCAATTCGGGTAAACGGGTCGGATTTGGGTCGGTAAAAGTGGGTCGGGTCAACTCGAGTCGGGTCAATTCGGATTAATTCCATAACCTATGTCGAGTTTGGGTTGGGTAATGCTTGAGTCGGATCAAGTCGGGTCATCTTATCGGGTTTGGGTAGGTTTAGGTCGGGTTAGTAACAAGTCAGGTCATATTCGGGTTCAACTAATTATAAATAGATAATTACTATCATTTTTATCGAGTTAATTATATCCTTTGACTATAATATATATGGCAATATACTAGGTAACTATAGTATATAATTTTAGGAAGATAATTAACTCCTTTGACCATACAACAAATATATACTATATTCAACTCTTAAATTTGAGGATGATGCTCCTTTCTTTTGCTAGCCTGGACCGACTTAGTCTCCCTACACAAAATGGTTTGATCAACAATAATAAGGTGGTCTAAATTGCATTTAAGGTGATTTGAAATCGGGGTCAGGAATAATTTGGGTTGAATTTAGATCGGGTCAATAACAAGTCGTGTTGATTTCGAGTCAGGATAGTAACAGATCGAGTTGAATTTTTGGGTCGAGTTAGTAATAGGTCTGGTAAAATTCGGGTTGGATCAATAACAAGTCGGGTTGAATTTAGGTCTGGTTAATAACGGGTTGATTTCGGGTCGGGTTTGTAACAGGTTGGGTTAAATTCGGGTCGGGTTAGGAAGCGGTCGGGTTGAATTCAAGTCAGGTTAGTAACAAGTCGGGTTAAATTCGGGTTTTGACGGGATAAAACGGGTTTGGGTCAATTTCGGTTCAAGTCGGGTTCAGTTCAGGTCAATAATTTACGTGTTACATTCGGGTCGGGTCATCTCCATATGAGTTCATGTTCAGGTTCGGGTCTCACACACTCGTGTCAACTCGGGTCTAGGGTTGGTTTCATGTCGAATTTAGGTCATCATTTTATAGGGTTCAGACGGTTCGTTAATAATCGGTTTGGGTCGGTATTTCAGGTCGGATCAACTTTTGACAGCTCTAGATACAACCAAAGATGAATTCTGCTACAATGATTTCCAGAAAAATATGGAAGGATAAAAAAAAAATCTTTCCAAAAAAAATAATAAAAAAATCCTTACTTTCCATAATGCAAAATCAGCTGGATGTCTCTTTCTCGAGTCAATAGCTACTCGCTCACCAGCTCGATTGTCTTCCAATCTTCGTCCAGACAATTGTCCATAATCAGGGACCTTTGCCACCGAGAAGTAAACATCTCCATCCACACTGTAGGCAAAGCCATTATCAACAATCTGCCAAGAGAAAGACAGAATATAAAACAAAAAAAGAAGTAAAAGGAAGAACTTATTCTACAAAAATTTCAGGTCATCCAGAAAGTCCCTTCCCGAATTTGTGCAATATAGTCCTCAACATAAAACAATTTTATGTAAAAAGAATCTTTTCAGCCAACAACTATATATGGAATCACAACATGACCTTAAGAATGAGCATATCCTGATAAAATAATTCAAAAAAATACCTGCTTAATCATGTCTATAATTTGTGGTATGTGATCAGAGACACGTGGTTCTACAGATGGAGGCAAACAATGCAGATAGGCCATATCTTGGAGGAATTCGTCACAAAAACGTTTGCTAAGAGATATTGGATTCTCCCCCAGTTCGTTAGCTCTGGCAATTATCTACAGAATTCGAAAATTCCATACTCAGGTATCCTGTCAGACAAGTATAAGACAGTCGGTACATGACATTCATATTAATTCAACTCAAGGCTAATATTACATTGAAGCACAAATATGTTGATTGCCTTGATGTGACAAAACTTGCCTTTAAGATAACTTGATCACAAACATATAGAGTTAAGAGAAAGTTTAGGATAGGTATATAGATCAAATTTACAATTATGACAGCCAAAAGGGAGGGTGTTCATTAGCACATGACATTGCAGCTTGTTAACTAACCTTGTCATCAACATCCGTAAAGTTGCGAACATAACAGACTTCATAACCTATATGCTTGAGATGCCTGCCAAGCCATCAGATTAAACAGAAACAGCTCTAATCAGCTGACACAGTGATGATTAAAAACACACATAACCAGTCAAATGTTCAGTTAATCTAATACTTTGTATATATTAGTAGTCCATCTTCCTAGACCATAGAGACGGTTTTTTCAGTCTGCCAGTAAATTAAGTTCCCTAATCCAATAGAAAAGATATAAGAAAAATAGTTACATGAAAGTCTGATTACCACTCTAATTATAGAATACACCATCAAATTATGTAACCTTATCCATTCAACAAACCCAAATTTTTTGGTGAACTACAACAAAGCTTTGAACTTTCCATAATGAAACCAACAAGAACTAAACAAGAAATTCTCCATACATACATTATAAACAATTAACAATTTATACTCCCATCCAAACAAAACAAATTAACAAACAGGCATTTATATTGCAACAAACCATAAACTTAAACAAAAACATAGAAACTTCACAGCAATAAAACCAAATCCACAACATTATAGTGCAGGACAACTAGCTTAGTTAGTTAAAGGGTACTCAAAACCTGGGATCAAATCTCGTCTACATCATTGCCCTTTGCGACTCTCTCTACACCCAATCAAAGATTACAACATTAAAAAGATCAAGAAAGAGGGAGAAAGAGTGAACCTGTAGAGAATATCAAAGGTAACATAAGCTCTAGCATGACCAATATGGCTGAAATCATAAGCAGTAACCCCACAAACATACATTCCCACTTTACCATCAATTTTAGGTTTAAACAATTCCTTTTGCCTGCTCATTGTATTATAAAGCCACAATTCTTTCTTGATTCCACCCTCTAATTTCTCGTTATTTGAATCAATAATCGAATTACTATTGGTATTTTGACCATTAATTGACGGGGTAGAACAGTATGAACGAACCCTTTTGTTGATTGCATAGTTTCTGGGGTGATTGGAGAATTGAGAACGGAATTGAAGTGGGGTTTTGGAGAGAGAAAGAGGGGTTAGATATGGCGGGAGGAAGGGTTTGCAGCACCTTGCTAGTGCTACCATTTTCGGCTATTTTGGAGATAATCTTGATGTGGTTTCGTCAATTTGGGTTTTATGTACCACCACTAACTAAAGGATGGTTGATTTTTGAGACCGGTGATTTAACATGTTCCACATTCGGTTTACCCTGTTTAAACCCTACTCCTCTAGTCTCGTATGCGTATAGTACTTCTTTTGTTTCATAGTAGGCATGTTCTCTTCATCTTAGTTTCATTTTAGTTTCTAATTTCCTCATCTCATAAAATGATTTATTTCAACTCTATTCAGTTCAGTTCAGCTCCAATTAGTTTAGTTCAGTAAATCAGAACAGGGCCTACGATTAGTCATGAATTTGAAATATAAATTAAAAGTAACAAGGTACACATAAGGTCAATGTGAGTGAACACATACATTTACAAACACAATAGGTGCATATGTCTACTCTTATATGTCCTATCATAAGTTCGTGCATGTCTTATACGAAGTACAAATTTGAGTTGTAGTTGCAAGAATAAGATTTTTTTTTTAATAAGAACAAACATAGGATGAATTCTAATATTAATCAACACAAGGGCACTAAGTGTATCCCTAATCTACAATAATCTATACCATTTGTCATATGTCACCATTTTATTTATTGTTGTTCACTTCTAGTCTAGTTATAATGTTTTTTTTTTTTTTTTTGAAAGAAAGTTATAATGGTTTATAACTTTGACAAAAACTCCCACTCTTTTAATGAGAAAATTGTTACAATACTTACAACTAAAACTGAATGGAAGAAGTACTTGACGATTTTATGCTCATATTGTCCATTAGGTTATGTATAGTTTAGCTTGTTTAAGAAAATATTTGTTTATTTCAATTATGATAAAATAAATCAACTAGATCGTTTCATTTAAATTTACTTATTATATCATTAAATATGTTTACGTCATTAATTTTTAAAAAACTATGGAAATTTGATATATTGGAAATACTGTTTGATACGAATTTATTGATAGCTCATTTGATTGAATCTTAAGAACTACTCTATATTTTACAAATAAGGTCAAAGTTTAATCTAATTAGATAAAATTTAATGAAAATTATTTGATTAGATTAGGTGAACTAAATATATTTTGCATCCAATTATGCTTATAACACAGTCACGTTTATGACATGTTCTTACTCAAACTTTTTCTCCGTATTACAAGAAGTTATTAACTCATTACCCACGAGGCCACGTCCCAAACGTTTATCATTCATTGAGTCACGAGTCCGACGACTATCTTATCTTAGAATGTGGCTAATAGAGTAAGTTTACAAAACGCTCAATAGTCGGATTTTTTCCCAAATTGAGCTTTATTGGTAAATTATTTACCAAATTGGTCTCGTGGGAAAAGTATTTCCCAAACTAAGCTTCTGGGGTGAAACGCTGTCTCGGACAGCGTTTTACACCCAGTTTTTTTTAAAAAAAAAATTCAAGAAGTAAAACGCTGTCTCATACAGCGTTTTACCTTGTTGACCTGTTGGTATGTATTTTGGCAAAATATACTAGTATATTTTGCCAAATTATACTGGAATATGTATATGGGCTTTAAAACGCTGTCTGAGGCAGCGTTTTATGTTGAAGCATAAAACGCAGCCTGAGGCAGCGTTTTTCTGCTAGACTGCATTACCAGCAGCATCTGCTACACTGCATCACCAGCAGTTTTTGCAATCTGCTGCTGCCCCTACACATAACCCTCACCCAGCAACATCAGCTCAGCCCCACCATGAACCACCACCCCCACCACCATCCACCACCATCAACCACCTCCCCCACCACCACCGGCCGCCACTCTCGACCACCCCTATGCAATGCAAAACACCCTAAACAACGCAAGGACATTCCCACCACCCCCATCATTAACCACCACCCCCACCACCATCAACCACCTCCCCCACCACCACCGCCCGCCACTCTCAACCACCCATAAACTACCATAAAACACCCTAAACAACGCAAGAGCATTCCCACCACCAGCCCCAACCTTTCCACCACCATCGACCACCACTGACAACCATCAAACACTGGAAACAACCCCAACAGCATGATAACCATCGTGAAACAGCACTTTAAGTGCAGGAGACCAAATATATGCTGCTTGATACATATAACGGATATAAAATATATAGTTTCACTAACAAAAGTCAAATTCGGACAAATAAGGGAAATAAACTTCAAATTGTACAGGGAATCATTTAGAAAACATTTCTTGTATTAATAATGTAAGCGTTATATACAACATTGTTAAATATCTGAGTACCACAAAAGGATCAACTAACTAATACTATCCGGACTCATGTATTGGAGTTAACTGATCTCCATCCTTTGTGTCCTCCGTCCGTCTACGAACACGCCTCGAACGCCTCGTGTAATGCTGAATGGTGGTGAATGGGTCTCGGGACGGTGGAGAAGTCAGCTGGCGAGACAATGAGTCATCTTGGCTGTGGCCGGGAGCGATGTTATGGATGAAGTAATCCTCTGCCTGTGTAGAGCCCGAAGTATGACCTCCACCACTACTCTGTCCGAAGTTGAACTGTGAATGGAAGGAGTTGGGGTCATGATCGTCCCTAGGGTGGACGAGATGGCCATGGCCATATCTCTACAAGCTATGTATGCCCATATCTCGCACCCGTTCAACCTGGGCTCTGGTGGGTACGGTTGCTAAGGCATCTGAAAGTGCATCAACCATCGCACCCATATCCCCCGCCTGCAGTAATCATCCATGAATTAGTAATATGATATAGAACTTCAAATAATTTTGGAAAACAAGAAACTGAAAAAACTCACAAGTCCGCTGATAACATCATAAGCTGGATGGTAGTGCGTGGACGGTGGGGTGTAGGTAGGGTTGATGAAAAGGCGTGTAATCTGCCTGTACCATACCATGTAAGGATCACGCGGATCCATAACACCCTGAAACAGGTGACCGTCAACGATGGACTCCAACCGTTGGTCCTAATGCTCAATGAATTGATGATGCTCCAGTGCCCAGTTTGTCTCCAACTTTCCACGACGGTCAATGCCGTGGAGGCGAATACTAGTGTCACAGGGCATGGGGATAGGCTGGTGAAGTCCGAACTGTCACAACACTCGGTCTGGTAGGTGGCTCTCCACGACCTCAAAACAGATCATGGGGGTCCTGGCAAGCCACTCAGCACGATGCTCGAGCAAGTGTTCCGGCATGGCCTCTACCAACACAGCAGAATAGGGATCCCATGTCATCTGCAACAAGGATATATCGTGAAAAGGTTAGGGCAATGCCAATAAACAGTATAAAGAGTAAACAAACGATTACAAATTTAGTGCAAGATTCCACCTGTTCATCCGAGAGTCGATCGAGGGCGTCACGGTAGTAGAGAAGACCTCTCGCTGTATGCGCATGTGTTAGTCTGGGAACCACCCACCTGTGGCAACAAATTATTTAAGAAGTTGTAATAGCTAATTATAACAAAATTTGAGTACACAAGTATAATGTTACGAACCTACAACCGTATGCCTGATCGGGTTCAGGGAACGGGGGAGCATCGTATGCTGCGTACTGATCGTCCTGATCCAGCTGCCCTGGACGGTGTACAACAGGCCTACCTGGTCTCCCTACATGGATGTGCTCCCAAGCCCATAGCTGTTTTAAAAATCAAATAAAAGGTAAAGCATAAATAACGTCAAGTCATTATCAGACTAGGCTTAAGGATAATGATGAGGTTTACCTGTAGCACAACCAAAGGACCTCCAATCAGCTGTGCTCCACGCTGTGATGCTCTACACAGATGGTGATACAAGACCGCCAAACAAGCATTACCCCAACTGTATCCACGGATCTCATCCCAGTCGTGGTCTAACAGCTGTAGGTAAATAATCTGAAGATGGCTTCCGCTCTTGTTTCCAAAGAGCACGCCCGAGATGAGCAGGAACAAGTAAGCTCGGGCGTATCTCTGCACTGTGGCGTCGTCAGCGTCCTGAGGTAAATGTCCAAAAGTGTCGCGTAGCCAACCGATCCTCAGCGCGCTGCCCCTGATCTCGTTTGGCTCTGGCTGAACCCCTAAAACCCGACCTACTAAACCTGCGGGGTCAAGTACCACACCCCCTGTCACCGCATTCCCATGGATGGGAAGGCGTGTGAGTATCGCAACGTCCCGCAGCGTGACTGTCGCCTCCCCCAGAGGAAGATGGAAGGAGTGTGTTTCCTGCCTCCATCTCTCAACTAATGCTGTGATAAGCCCTCGATCTATTTCTCTGTAGCCCACGCGATGAATACCACCAAAGCCAACCCAGTCGACGTACTGAAGAACGCGTGGATCGACTGCCCAGCCGGACCTCAAGTGCCTGCACCCCAACATTTCCGCTATGTCCACCTGGTAATTCATTTAAAAACTGTAAAAAAGGGTCAAGTATACAAAAAAACAAGACAAATCTGTATATGAAATGGCACGTGAGAAATTACCGTCTACTCCCATATGTCAACACTTCGATGTCTATCCTGCAGTGTAAGGACAGAAGGGTCAAGTGGTCCTGGTATCCGATCGTGTCCGACCATGATATATGTTCATTCAAAACAATATGGCCAAACCAATTAAAAAACAGAATTACTAGTCAATGAAATTGACATGACTGTCACAGGTAAAAGACAAGTACGAAATATAAGTCACCAAATCTCAAATATAATCCAAGCGTTACAAATGTTACATAATGTCATTAATCAACTACTACATGAATCTATTGTTCTACTACTATAGCTAAACAATTACAAGGTTATGTTTCGGTTGATCTAGCTGGGCATGTTTTGCGATTGTGACCTTGTTGGTGACAGTGGCTGCATTTAGTCCTAGGTCGGTTAGTGTCATCCATTTCATTGCGTATGCGCTTTGACTTTGGCCGACCTTTTCCTCTTACCATGCTGGCGTCCGGGATGAGTCTAGGTCCTATGTACTGCGTCGAAGTGGTCTCACATGGAATAGGCCAGAACTGTGGTGCATACGTGTTCATATACACACCCGTTTGCAGGAAAGGGTCCACCCACGGCCTCTCGGACAGTGAATAAGTCGCACACACTGCTAGAACATGAGAGCATGGAAGGTGGAATATCAGGGGTTTGTTGCATGTACATGTTCTCAACTGGAAGTTAACAGTGTGTTCGGTTCACTGTGAACCTCATTCATCAGATCATTCACAGTCATATTCGGTTCAAGTGTTATAAGTTCCATATTCCCTCCACTGCACTCAACATTTGATCCATCGCACATAATTTCACCTCCCCACCGGCATAACAACACTACATTTTGTGAAGCCATATTCTACATACCAACCAAAACACATTTAAGGATAATCGAATTCTAAAACAACGTCAAAAAACCCTAATTTAACAATACATAACATACATAACTTCGATAATGGAAAGTTATATCAAATTTCGAGAACCTACATGTGTAGCTAATATGACAACAATGAAACAAGTCCATTCTCATTATCAACATTTTCATCACCAATTTCATAAACTCTTAGTACCGCATACAACTATCAACATACTAATACCGCATTACCATCAACAATTTTATCGTTTTTTTCACAATAATAGACCACATTACCATCAACAATTTCATTAAGAATTTCATCAAAAACAAACCACATTATCATTGACAATTTCATCAACAATTTCGTCGACAATTTAATCAACAATTTCGTCTATATTTTTCCTCAACAATGTACCACATTATCATCAATAATTATCAACAATTTATCACATTTCATTACTAATTAGCAACAAATTAATACAATTTACATCACAATTTGCTACAACATACAAGAAACGCTGCCTCAGGCAGCGTTTAATGTACAGATAAAAACGCTGCCTCAGGCTGCGTTTTATGCTTGTACATTAAACGCTGCCTGAGGCAGCGTTTAATGCTTGTACATTAAACGCTGCCTGAGGCAGCGTTTTATGCTTGTACATTAAACGCTGCCTGAGGCAGCGTTTCATTTAAAGATATAAACGCTGCCTCAGGCAGCGTTTATTTGTATAAAACAGGTATGAAATACGAAGTTTTTGAAAAAAGTCAAACTACCATAAAACGCTGCCTGAGGCAGCGTTATATGTCTTGAATTTTTTTTAAAAAAAAACTGAGTGTAAAACGCTGTCCGAGACAGTGTTTCACATCAGAAGTTTAGTTTGGGAAATACTTTTGTCACGAGACCAATTTCGTAAATAATTTTCGTATAAAGCTTAATTTGGGAAAAAATCCCAATAGTCCTTGTCACCTTAATTTGTGCACTATAATTGACAAAATTCGCAGTCATACGAGCCCCTTAAAATTCCCCGCCCTCCTTTTAACCGACTGTAATTGCTGGTCCTTCATTCCATCCTCTTCCAATCTCTCTCTCCTCTTCTCAGACGCTTCCGATTCCTGAGGTATCTTCTAACCCTAATTTCATCAATCTAATTCATTTTCTTCTCTGCAATTTCAATTTCAATTTCGATTTCGATTTCTTCAGTTGGTTTATTGCTTCCAAATCACGTTTTCCTTTCAATTTCTTCTTTCGGTAAGCATGATTATTCGTTTTTTTTTTGTTAAACAGCTTTTCTTTGGCGGTTAATTGAAGTCGATAGCTTCAATATTAGTGGTGATTATTTCGTTCAATTCAGCTTAATAATATTGTTATGATCATATTTTCGAGTTGTTTTGCGGCTTAGTGATGGAGTAATTGATTTAAGTGTTTAATGATGATGATGATGATGATGATTATGATCTTATGCACTAATTTATTGTTTATTTAAGTTAATTTTGTGACTAAGTGATGCAAATGTGCATAATATTCAGATGATTAGTAGTTTGTACAGATTATCGTATCATGCTCCCTCTGTTTAGATGCATTGGTTTGACTATTTTCACTATTATATATTAACTTTGACCTTGTTTATGTACTGCGAGTAATATGTAAAGATATATGTCGACATGTCATTATACGAATTGCTATTGTGTTCATCTCAATGCATATTTTCAAAATATCAATTTTTATACTGTAATTTTTACTAGTAAATGATTAGAGATTTTGTTAAATTTAAGGTACAAACAGCGTAAAGTTTAAGTGATGTATCTATTGAGTTCTTGATTTAGTATATATTCCTTTTACCTGTTAAGAAGTTTGTAATTTGTTTGAGCCATGAATTAGAGGGTACCTCTTGACTCTCGTTGTGGTTATCGAGGCAAAGCTAAAATAGGTTATTCTAATGAGTTAGTTTGGTTTGGCGACTGTTTCAGAGATGTTGATGACTGCTAAGAAACAGGAGGTTTTAGGATTGCAGAAGAACAAAGATTTGCTTTCTCAATTATCTTCTTTTCAGACCCTGCTGGATGAGGTTTATGGATCTACCCGTCCCAGCATTGACGACTATGCCAATAGAAGGGATTTGATTCGTATTTTTAATGATATTGCTAGGGAAATGTATGGTAAGCTTTCTTTTATGTGCACGAGGAACTATATCACCATATGCTAGTGGGTGTCCCCTTATAATTTCATGCTGAACTTGAATCAATAGAAGAGGAGAGATAGTCTATTGTTATTATTTTATTTGGTACTGCTCGCAGTGTTGTTAGATATTCTGTTCTTAAATAATTTATCCTGGGAAAGTCTTGCAATTTCTTAATGGCGCTTCTTAAACGTTTGAAAGGTGAAGTTTGACACATTGTTTATTGTGAAGTGCATATTTTTTTGTGTGGATGTAATATTGACTGTGTAAAGCTAGAGAAATTTACTACCTTTTGCACAAAACATATTGCATGTGAGTGAAAGTATAAATTCCTCATTTTTAAACTGTATTTCTGGCTTTATGCACATGTTCCTTGACAAGCTTTGCTTTGTTATCGATTGAAATTTTTATTGTGCAGAGATGCCCGATAAATAAGCTAGTCTGAATCATATTCTTTGCCCTTGAACATGAATAAGTTTTTCAATTGTCTTAATTTCGCACAAGTAGTCTTGCTACAAGACCTTATATTAGACAGTTGTATCTTAACCTGTTGTAGATCTTGCTGAGCAGTAGCTGCTGCACCAGAGCTGATTGCAACATCAATGCAAGGGCACATATACTGAATGAAACTAAGTTATCACTCATGAGTCATGACACATAATAAACTACAATAATTAAGAAATGTAGAATGATTAGCTCTTTATGTTACCTTTTTTTATAGCCACTCACTAAGTAGTGGCATACTGCCGCTTCCCTTATCTGATAAAATTGCGATTTTATAGATTTAAAAGATTGAATCGGAATATACTTTGTGGAATGTGCTTTAAGAACTTTCAGAAGTACAATCTGCAATATAGTATTGGGAAGAGAATCTTATTTTGTTGATTGTTTATTGTATAGCAAAGTACATTGCTGAGCTAAAAAGGATATTTTTCGGCCTTTTGGTATAGCTGTTTTGGCCCCTAGGTTCTTTTTTTTTTTTTTTTGGTTGAGAGGTGCCCCTAAAGAAGTCATAAGCGGAAGCTAAAGCACAAAATTTAATAACAAAAAAAAAAAACCCCTTGTCAACTTATTAACTAGAAGTAATCATTCTTACACTTTCCACCATTTACTTTAATCATTTGTTTTATTCTTTGGGGAGGGGGTGGGGGGGGGGGGGTGGTCAATCTTACCTTTTTCCCCTAGTCTTTTTATTCAGGAAAATGGCTGGAAGAATACCAAATTTCACTTACAAGTTAAATTTAAATTTACCTTTGATTATTAAAAATTAATTTAAAGTTTGGAGGTTATATTCACAAAAGAGTATGATCTGCTATTTATCTTGTCTATTGTCTGTCGTATATAGAAAGACTAGTACTCCAAAATAGTTTGAAAAGGTACCCACAAGACCTCAGATTAATCCTATATTACCAAAATTTCAAAAAGTGTGATTAATTTAAAAGGATGAGTGAAATTAGGGATTATTCATGTCAATTGTCACCCCCTTCACCCTTTTTTTCTTTGAAAAAAATCCATTTATGTCATCATTTTTTTAATGCTCTTGTGTTATACATTTATTATAATTAGGTATCAATGAGGGATAAAATAAAACCTCTCTAATGAATCCATTCTTATAAATCTCAGGAAATGAAGAATGCCCTGTAGTGGAGGACTTTGGATCATTCTTGATGAATATGTTCGATGCTAAAAGTGACCTCGATTTATCAATTAATTTTAATGATCAGTTGTTTGAAGCTGATCGCATTGCAAAAATCAAGACCCTCCGCAAGTTTGCAAAGAAATTCTATGCCCTTCGAAGTAAGTAACCTACAAATTTCTCCTCACTTAACGTTTGTTAATTTATGGCTCTCTTTTGATACTTCTTTTACTTAATCTTATCGAGGTTATTCCTCTGTTGAATTTTTAAATGTATTGCATTTATTAATTGTTTCCTTGGTGCTGAAATCTGCTTCAAAATTATTGGTTTTGCGGTGGATAATCATTGTGTGTAAGATTTTGTAGCTACGTATAAAATATAGAGTAGCATATCCGTCATTTACGGTATCAAGTAGATAAACTAACTGATTTTTTTTGTTAACTTATTCTATTGAATGACATAACCAATATATAAATGCGTAGGCACTTTCTTAAGTGCTAATTTTTAGAGGTAAGTATGCATGCAAGTAGTGTCGTAGGCGGAAGCATGGTGTATTTGAAATGATGCTTTAACATGCGTAAAGGAAATATATAAGGCTTTAATCAAAGAAGATACTACCTCCGTCCCATGTATAGTGAGAATGAGGAATAATGCTTAGATTAACAGATTAACATGCATTAATCAAAGCAAAAGGACGATAAATTGGATATAATAATACGCATATTGGAATTCGATAATTTGAGATTATGAGAATATTATAATTTGATATTACAGTGATTATTGCCTTATAAGCTTATTTGTGATGTAGAAACTTCGTCTTGACTCTTGGTGTAGTACTTAAATTATGTGGGCACACTGTTGTTAGTAGGAATAATGCAGAGATTTTTTTTTTTTTTTTTTTTTTTTTTTTTTTTTTTTTTTTTTTGGGATTAGTTGCGATGTTAGCATGTCATAGGTTTTTGTGAAATTCAGCAAAGTGAAGTTTGAATATAAAATTCCACTTTGCTGCATTATGTGGCAGAACAGAATAGGCTGTCTCTATAAACACTAAGTCAATAACTGGTGTATCTGAAGTTCTGAACAAGAGGTAGTTCATTATCTCCCTGTCTGGCCATTATCTTGTTTAAAATGTGACTTTTCATTTTGCTCAATTGATAAAGTTTCCAAGTTTTGTGGGTGTCAGTCACTCACTATATAGTTGAATCCTTTCTTCCTCGCTCCAAGCTCAGTTGACCCTTTTAAATATTTGCAGAGAAAGGATGTGTTACAACTGTGGAGCTGATCATGTCGGCTAGGGTGCCTGTATTAAAAGTTACTGATTCTGGATCTGGAATTGAATGTGATTTTTCAGTTGGAAATAGAGATGGTATTGCTAAATCCCACATTATTTTCTTGATTTCGGCTATCGATGAAAGGTTTCAAAAGCTAAGTTTTATGGTAAGTAAAAGGAGAATCAAAAGCCAATCAGCTGTAGTTGGTAATAGCTTGTAAGGACTTGATTGAACATATGTTAGTTTTCCCTTTCATTTGCTCCGCATTAATAGATGGATGAAGGTCTTTCAATAAGATGGGTAAAAAGATATAATTGTTTTACTTTCTTGGGGGAAGTCACGACTTATAAGATTTTGGATGTACCAACTTATAGAAGCTAGTCTCTCACATCACATAGGGACACATATACACACTATTCTATACTCCCTTTGTTCTTTTATATTCTACCGTAAAATAATATTAAAAATGATGATCGGATGTTAGCTTAAGTAGGGGGAGAAAAAGTTAAAAAGGTTGGTGGGTGTAAGGATAAGGTGTATGAAGTAAGAGAGTGTGGAAAGTTGTAATTATTGTGGGATAAAAGGGGTAAGCTTGTAAAGGGGGTATGCCTAAGACAGAATTAGCAAAATGAGTAGAACAAAAAAGGTCAAATTTGGAAAGTGAGTAGAACCAAAACAAAAAAAAAAAAAAAAAAAAAAAAAAAAAAGGGTGTACTGCAAATTTTATTTGGTGTTTTGCCTTTGTTTTAGTGTGCAATTTATTTTTGGGTTGGGCAATAGCAACTTTCAAAGATATAAAGGCTGGATTATGATACGAAAATTAATATACAGAAGGAGAAAATTTGTGGTGGATTTTATTTGCTGCAACTAAGGCCTGTAATTGAGAAAACATGATTTGGTTATTGAATAAATGTACTGTATGAAACTATGATTGGGGCTTGTAGTTCAATGAGAGCTCCATTTGCTATTTGGGTTGTGTTTTATACTGATTGCTGACTTTGTCACTGTATTAAATACCCAAAATAAAAAGGAACTGAACTATTGATCTGTAGAAACATATTTGTGTAAACCTTTTCATTTGCAACCGATTTGCAGTTGAAAGCATGGGCTAAGGCACAAGATATCAACAGCTCTAAAGATGGTACACTGAATTCTCTATCACTGATATTACTGGCGGCATTTCATTTGCAGGTATGACACTTGGATTAACCTATTATCTTTATTTTTTGTTGTTTTCTTGTATCTTAGAATTTTACCAATGACCTAAATTATAAACATGATCAAGATTATAGAAAAAGATGTTAATCAGAGTGAATATCACGCACTGCATTTTTATACTGTATGGTTGGGAATATCACCATGTAATTTGTGCAGATTAATGCACATACAGATGTTTTATCATCATTTTTTACCATTGATTCTTCTCCAAGGGCCATCTGAATAGTCATTTTGTTGGCTGATGCTTGTTGCAAGTTTCCCTGCGGTGATCAGACTTGCATGGATACCTGTTGCTGAATTTGTGCTAATTTCATGACCATTGAACTGTTCCAGATTTTTAAATGTGTATTTATTTCCAGTTTTCAGATTATCTTTCTTTCCAGAAGGTTAAAATATCATCTTTGCACCATGAAATGACTGTTAGCCTATATTGAATGCTTCTTGGCAGAGTTTGTACAAGTGTTGAAAACTTGAAGTATATAATCATCTTGATTTTATAAATGTGTTTAGTATCCTAAAAAGTAAAAACATCAAGTCTTTCTTCTATTTATCATATTGGCATTTGGAAATGACTTATTAATGATTGTGGTTCATAAATAATGTTGGGACAATGATTTATCATTGATTTGACTTTTCTTCAATGATTTCTGGTGATTCTATGTTGATTGATGCAGACTCGAGACATCCCAATATTACCTCCATTTTCTGACATATTGAAAGGTATTTTTTTTTCCTGATCATGAGTATATTAATATTAGATGGATCCTCTTTTTTCTTTTTCTTTTTAGCTGTGGTTTGCTTCTGCCTAGAGAGAAGTGGAGCTTAATTTTTCAAATAGGCAGTCTCAACTCTCAAGACTTGATATTAGTTGCAATACTTGCGAACCTTTGTATTTTCTGTAGACAAAATGATACTCTGGGCCTCTGGGGTAATTTGTGTACACATCATTTCTGAATTTGCCATTGGTTTTACTGAATATTATGCTGGGAATAGTCATATAGAGATGATCTCAGATTTTCAGCATTTTTGTTTTGACTACTCTTTTTACGTCACGCACTCCAGATGGAACAGACCCGGAGGCTGTGAAGAAAATAATTCCTAGATTTTTGAAATATGGAAAACGAAATAAAGAATCTCTTGCTGAGCTCTTTGTATCTCTGTTGGTTAAGGTAATCATTTTGATTATTATGATATTATCTCGGTTTCAAGTTATGGGGTAGGTTAATGGATTATGTTTTTAATAATTTCTCCTATATCATGGGTTGCTCTAAATTTCCATTATGCCATTTTATGCAGTTCTTAAGAAGCACACAAGGACATAAACTCAATTAATTTACTCTTCTAAATTTAAATGCTCACTGCTTTATGTGCTACATCTTAAAAACACATTTAAGTTTTGTATCAAAAAAGGGAGTTGCATGATATGGTTGGTTTAGAACCTTTTTTTTTAATCTGTCAGTACTCAGTAGTTTTGTACAATTCCCACTGGTTTTGATATCCTCCATTGATTTTTCTTGCCATTATAGATTGAATCAGTGGAATCACTGTGGTCGAAGGGAATTTGTGTTAGTACTTTTGAGGGAGCATGGATATATAAAAACTGGAAAGCAACGGGTTTGATAAGAGTAAGCTGCCTGACTTTATTAACTAAAATGTATGCCTGTAAATTTTAATTCAATTATTTTTTTGAACATATTGGTCCTATAGCTTCCTACCTGAATATCTTGCAGATTGAGGATTTTACTGACAGGTCCCAGAATACTGCAAGAGCAGTTAGGTCTGCTAAAATTACCAAGATATATTCATGTATCCGGCGCTCTGTGGAACAGATTCAGCTCTTTACCAAGGGAATAATTAGTGCTGACAATTTAAAGTCTCTTTTATTTGGTAAAGTTCCACCTCAGACCAAGAAGATAATTGCAACTGCCTGTGATTCAAATCTATCAAAGTCCGTCCCTCAAAAAAGAAAGAAGAAGTGCCCGACACAGGGGGCTCCTGCTGAGGAGCAAAGACCTGGAAAACAAGGTAAGCATTGTCATAGTCCTTCCAGCACGAAAGTCCCAACACCGTCTAGGACTGGCAGGGTAAAAAAGAAGTCCAGAAAAAAAAGAAAATCTGTCCAAGGCTCTGGAGTAATTATACCTCCACATATTCTGGATGGCAAACTGCCTCCCTATTCTAACCCGTATCTTCAAGGTTCTGCAGGATTTATAGCCGATAGAACTCATGTTGAGACTTTGAGAGACGCTTCACCAAAGTATCCTCCACGCCAACCTATTTCCTTTTCAGGTTATGGAGGATTTAGACCAGAGAGAAATCATGAAATAATGAAATATGCTGATTCCATTTTTCCACAGCACCAACTGCCCTCTCATTCTAATCAACATATCCAAGGTCATAGTGGGTTTAGATCAGAGAGGACTCATGTTCACAATGTAGGACATGCTCCAAATTTCCTGGCAGGTCCATTTTCTGTTTTTAATCCACCAGTCCAAGGTTTTGGAAGATACATTCATGATAGAATGCATGTTGATACACCAATCTACTCCGGCTCAATGAGCCGACCACATCCCCTTGCTAATCTTGCTGCAGGATTTGGACATGAGGCTCAGGCTGAAACTATATACCATCCTGCTACTAGTTTTCAAACATCTGTTCCATATACTTCATCCTATAGACCAAGTAGTAGTGCAATGCCTCCCCATCAGCCTTACATTCCTACTGCTCCTTATCCAGATCCTGCTGGATTACAAAGATCGCATGATACTCGCCACTCTTTCCCACATGTATCTTACCACCCTTATCAGCTGTGAACTTCTATGGTGTCCAACTCTAACAGGGTATCTTCTGGACTTCTTTTGGTTGGGTTAAGATTTAGCCTTAATGTAAATGATGGATCAATAGTTGAGGGACATGGTATAATACTAGCAGAGTAGATGCGCAAGCGATAGTTGTTGCTTTGTGTAATTGTCGTTCACATTAGTAATCAACTTTCATGATTTTCTTTTCTAAATAGCCTCAAGGCTCGAGGAAGATAGAAATCTGAATTTATGTGATTAATCTTGAAAGAAGATTTTATTTTATTTATGGAATGAATCACAAGTGTCAACAAATTAAAAGTTCATCGCGAAGTTTCATAGTTAAATGGAGACAGTAAAACCTTGTTGTGGATCAGAGATTATGGAGAAATTGGACTGAAAATGAGGGAGAGGAGAAGTGGTAATGGACAGCTCAATATCGTGGACTCAAAATTTTGGCATTCATGAGCTTAATATAACTTGTGTGAACACTGAATAGGCCTGTATTGTAATAAAAAATAATAATGGATTGTACTGAATACTTCTCTTGTTATGGCTTACGAAGGCCTCGCATTCGTATTCTTCTATACAGCTCCTACACCAATCCCCCCCCCCCCCCCCCCAATGCTCCTGGTTCCTCTCTCTACCTTCACCGGGATCATGCCACAGAACACACTTTGTCTGCAAAAAAATGGAATTATAAATTTTTTTTTTTGACAGGAAATAGAATAATAAATTTAAATCTTTGAGGTTTTGGCAAAAAAAAATATGGTCGTCTGAAAATACAAAATACCTTGACGGTTGGTACTGCAACAAAGTCGGTTATCATCTATGTAAGTGGCTTGCAATCCCATCATCCATGAACCAACTGATGTATCATCATGCGCATACGTCTTTAAAGATACACTAGATGAAGGAACAAATAAAGTATTAGGAGCTAGAAAATCCTAAAATGCTTGCCCAATTCAAATTAATAATAGAAAAAACACATTTTAGTGAGAAAATACTTATGAAATTCAACCTAACAACCTTAAATGCCCAAATCAAAATACGAGCCTAGTTAAACCAACCTACCTCCCAACTAACTAGGCTGGAAGTTTGATTCTGTAAAAAGCCAGCAAACTAATGCAATCATATTTTTATCACGATAGGAGTAAGTTAAGTATTTGCTTGTCTTAGCATTGCGCCCAATTTCCTTGACAACCGCCGGAGGGGGGGGGGATTTCAGAAATCCTTATGGGTTGCAAATCAGTATTTAGCTTATTCTAAAAACAATGCCACTTTCCAGCCTAGCAAGAAAACTTCAAAGGACTGCTACCACCCCAATAGTTCAATTTGATTATAATCATGTTATCTGGGCAAAAACAATTAGGCAAAACTACCTGTTCACAAAAATGTACTCTGATAAACTTTTGGACAGTATTACAAGTGAACTGGCAGCATGTCGGAAGTACCTGATGCAAACAAAGGAAAAATATAAAGGTTTCAATAGCTGACATAAAATAAGTTCATATTCTACAATTGAAGACAATATGCCGTAGATAAGCATATTATAGGTGCAAAAGATTGAGTACACCATAACTTAGCTAATTATTGCATAACGATCAGCTTAGCCTCACACAAGCATATTACAACAAGAGATGGGACTATCACACAAAGAGATCAATCTACTAATCATTTAAGTATATGACCGCCCCCACCCCACCCACACCTACTTTTAAGCATCCTTATCTATGGCAAAAGCAACAGATAGCAAAAGATCGAATTTGTAAAAGGTCTAACTTACGATTTCTGATCACCGAACTTCCACCACTCAGGCTCGTACCATTGTTTTCCCCTGAAAAATAATGAACATCATAAAATTCCTGACATTGTATTCAAATTTTTATTTGACACAGTGATAAGCTAAATAGGAGCTCAAACCCATGTTAAAGCTTACACACACACACACACACACAAACACACACACACACACACACACACACACACACACACACACACACACAAGCTAAATCTAGTAAAGACATAAGATTTACTCTTCTGCTATCACGTCTCCGGACTTCATACATCCAATATATGCACTCTGTTGACCACGACGGCTCTCGAGAAGTCCAATTAACCCATCTGATAAATAAAAGGAAAGCAAATGATGAGCTAAAACATTAGAAGAGACTTAAGTCGTGTATAAATCACTCATATGAATAAGAGTTGACTTTCACAGAATTACCAAGGTCAAGGTCAATACTATCATCAACTTTTACATAGAAGTCAGCATCCCAATTTTGTACAGCAGTACTGAAGAAGAACTTTGCTTTCTTTGGCAATTCTTCTTGAGCCTCCTCATGCCCTTCCTAGAAAATGCATGCATTACATGAGCATAGCAAAACCAGATTTTGGCAAGTTACAAGCAGATCCTTTAGACATAATCTGCTATACTAGCACTTCACAAAACCAAATAATAGCATATACCTAATATCCAGATACAAAGGGAAAAACTAATACTTAGTCAAGGGAAAACAAATATTTAATTTTACATCTTCACTTAGCACATAGCCACATATAATTTGATTAAAGCCAAAATCAGAAATATACAAACATCTGTGAATATATATATATATATATATATATATATATATATATATATATATATACAAGCTATTAAAGATAAAAAATATGATATGAATCAAGATACAAGAATTAAAATCATTCAAATTACAAGGAGCAGTAAATGATCATGGGAAACATATAATTGTTTATTTGAGTGCAGTCTTTCAAGAAAGCCCTTAGTGATAGCAACATCAGCCAGCAATAAGTATAAAATTTAAAAATCAAGGTCTCCATTGAGCTATCAGTCTTTGACTCACAAGAATTAAGAAATCATTAGTTTGGCGGTTTTCCTCATCAATGCCACGATCCAAGCTATCACCTCGATTTGGACTGCATTTCAGAAAGTCAAGAAGTGAGTAATGTCCAAGAAAGTATGAAGATAGTAATAATAGGAAAGCAAAAAATGATAGCAATGTTCAGCATCTTGCAAAGTGTCAACTACAAAGACCAGAAAAGATGTTGAGCAGAAAAAAGACCTCCGACCAATAACAAATCGTATGACAATTCCTTTCTCCTCCAGTTTTTTCAAGTTGTCACCTGAAACAGTAATCATGAAGCTTGTGATACACATGCTTAGTTGCAGATACAGAGTTTTAATAATTAATGACACCATACACATAGACAACTTATTAAAAAAAAATAAAAATCAAAGGAATTCCAAACCAAGCAAGCAGCAAATATTAAGTGAAACGTATTTTGCTGAAGGTGCGTTATAAGCCACATTGCAAGAAATTAAGGTCAAAGGACTTCTCCAACGGATAAGTCAAACATCTCTATTAAATCAGTAATGATTTATCACAGGCCCATCACTCAAGACTCATCAATCGATAAAATTACTAGTACAACAGCAGGCAATGCCAAATAAACAACCTAGACTCTTAGAGACCATTCATAAATTGCACATGATAAGCCATGCAAGTCATGGAATAGCAGAGAGCCAAAAGCAGACTTTGCAATAGGGATGAATGGTCATGCAAATTAAGAACAACATTCAATTGAGTTGAGGATATGAGAGAAGGAAGAGGAAGGGAAACTGGAGATGAAAAAACAGACACAAGATCATTGATTACAAAGTAAAAGAGATCCCCAAACAATTTTTACTTGTCTGAGAAAAAAAAATGGAGGACATCATGAGATTATGTAAAGCAAAAGGCTAGATACATAGTACTCTAGTAACTAGTAATAAATGGTAGATATCATGATATTCATGAAATTATGTCAGTGATCAAAACATTTATGAGAGATTTTAGCATAAAGTAGTTTAATGAGTGACAATTGTAGATGCTAAGATTGCTAGCACGACACTAAATAAAGAGAATGGACATTAACCTCTAGGCATCCACGAGCCTCGAAAAGTACTGCGCTTTAAACGACTTCCAAATCCGGTGCAAACTCCAATAACAGCAAGAAGCTTCCTATCAGCAGAACCATCTTGTTTCCGCTGATTTCTTAGATATCCTTGACTCTTAGCCAGTGTCAAGTCCATTTCTGCCTCGGCAATCCTTTTCTCCAAATCTCTTAAACAAGCAACATTGTAAATATCAGTGAAAATGACCAACGCAACACAAAAGCATCCACAAGCAGTAAGCATTTAGACCAAAGAAGGTATAGATATAATAAAAAGAATGAGAGCAGTACTTGCATCCTAGCACCATAAGCTTATCGTCTACAGTAAGAACCTTTGGTCTCTGCAAAGAGAAAATGGAAACAAAAAGGCCACGAGTATTATAATCAACCAGAACTGAAGAAACCAAAATAAATAATGGACAATTTTCAGTCATTGCTAGCTCAACAACACGAAAAGAGCTATATAATTTTATAGTGTCCTTCCCGCATCAACTCTTTTATGTAAATAGGATAGGATAAACATCCAAATTTCCAATCCAGTACCTGGTCTGAGTTTTTCTGGAGAAGATTGACCAGTAAAGTTCGGTTCTCAGCATCCTGCCATAACCTGATTTTATGACACGGAAGTTAAAGACAGGAAGAGCAGACAGTAATAAACACACACAAGTTAAGAGCATATATTTCTTCTCAGAATCATTATAAGACACTAAAGTGCAGCAGGAGTACAGCCATAAGGAGCTAACATCCGACACGACAAATAACAGATTTCGGTCTGAAACCTACAGAAATTTCACTCAGAAATGCCAAATCCAAACCAATGGACGTTTAATTAAATTGAAGGACAAAGTACTCTAATAACTTAATTAACACATTTCCAGATTGATTGGCTACTGATTAATGACGAAAACAGATTACAAACCAATGAAATCAGATCAGTAAGTTCAAGTACTAATATAAAATCAGATGATCAATCATCAAAAGTTCAAAATGATCATTAATTCGTAGTAACAATGAAAATATGTTATCAATCCGATCTGAAAACACCAGAAATTGATCTAATTACAGCCCCTAACATCAATCAAATGAGCAGCCTAATTCTTCAATTAGGTCAAAATAATCAGAAAACAATCAAAAAGTAGAGAATTCACACTAATTTCTCACATAATAAATGCGCTGAATTCTACATAAATTACAGCCAAAATTCTCCCAAAATCATACAATTTCTCCAATTTGATCGAAAAATCAAGAAATAACGACAAAATCGATACGAAACAAAAGTAAGAGAGAGAGAAAAATTGACCTGCCGGCGACGTAGAGACAAGCGACGCAAGAGAGGAACGCCAACAGAAGAGAAGGTTTAGCGGAAGAAGAAGACGACGAAGAATTGTAGGCAGATGATCTTCCGACGCCTCTTCTCTCTCCTCCGCCCTTCGCCGCCGTTGTCAATGGCAGTGAACCCTCCATTTCTGCCGATCAGAGCACTTCAAGGTTGGGAGTTTCAACTTATAGTTGAGTGAAAAGCAGTAATAAGAGGGTATTAATCAAATAGAACGGTGTCGTTTAGGTACGAGGGTTTTTTTTATTGCTGTTACTCGTTCATCCAGGTGAACAAGTAAAAGTGAGGTATCAAATTGAGTTCGTTGGGATCGGATTGGGTTCAGATTAATTTTCAAATTTGATTCACGCTAAATTGGGTCAGTTTTCGACACCTACATGGCATGGTGTAGATTGCGTAGAAGTCAAAGCATGATTTTTTTTTTTTTTTTTATTTATCAAAATAATAATATAAATTCTTGATCAAGACGGAGCTGATGGACTTTCATTAAATTATTGCAAAACGAGTTAAGTTATCCTAATTTAAAGTTACCCTTTTTATAATAAAAATTTTACCTTAAAAATATTTATAATGTATTAATTAATCATATTCGTTCCTTAACGGGGTTAAGATTACTATTACCCTTAAGTTGATTGTTTGACAATAAAATTAACGTAAATCCGCTTACAATAAAATTAGCGTAAACCCTTAAATTACAAACTTCATAATTAAGGTTTTATCAATACTACTAATATTAATAATTACACATAATTGAAAAAACACAAGTACTAAAATAAATGGTGCTACAAGACTAGTATTTCATGGTTAACCACGAGAAAGATAAAGCATAATACTTGTTTAGGGTAAAAATTACCCATGACAAATGGACCAATCCGGACCTGCCACGTGTCCACCACGTGGGCCAATCAGCGTCCGCCATTTGTCACCCTAAGAGGTCCAACATGGACTAATCAGGCCACGCCACGTGGCCTCCCATATGCCAAATAGGCAAAATGGCCACCAAGGCCCAAAGTCCGAGAGAAGCCCAATTTGCCCTGGTTAACCTAAACCTAAAATTGGCACGCTTCTCAAGACTATAAATACTTAATTAATCCTCATTAAAGGGGATTCAGCAGAATGACTCTCACCTAGAGAAAACCAAAACACATTGATCACTCCTCCCCTAGAGGAACCAGATCTCCCACCTTTACTCTCCGCATTTATCACTCCTCAAACAAGTACTAACTTGACCGTTGGAGGCGGAGCTCCCACCACAAGGAGTCTCCGTTGTTTTGCAGGTACAGGCGTCCGGTTCCAGTCTCGGAATTGTAACTCTCCCGCAGGACATCAGAAAACCCCGAAACAATACTAATCTTGCAATTAAGAAAGAAAGTCAGTACAAAAACAAACAAAATCTAAAAGTTGGGCATAAACCATATGGGAGCAAAGTATTTGGAAATTGTATCACCACCATCGTAGAATGATGTAATATATCCGGATGCCATATCAAACATACCCATATCATGTCCACGGACATCTGTTCCGCATGATGCACCCCAATATACTCTTTGTTCATCATCAATATAGTATATAGCGTTCTTTTGGCAATTTGGAGCCTCTGATGTATGAACAGCAGTAGCATAATTGTCACCAACAAATAACATATAATTGCCCAAATCATCAACATTTTCCCACAACAAAGATTTTGTGTTACGAACAAGCTTATAGACCTTGAAATTAATGGTACGGTAGCAATGTTTATTCTCCCAGAGGTATGTATACTCAGCTTGACCATCTTGATCTGAAATACCAGACTCTCTTTGGCGTAACACTATAAGTAAATCACCAGCTAACTCCACCATATACATCTCTCCTTCAGTCGCTATTGCATGCATTGATGTTTCTAGTGTGTTTCCATACAAATTGTAGGGAATGATACTATGATTTTTAGCCATAACATGATTAGAAGAACTAGCCGCAAATGCAATACTAGCTGTATCCAAATATGCAATCCCTGCATTATTACCAGTGTCATCAATATGACTACACAAGACTTTTCCATCCCAAACCATGGCATGATGAATAAAAGGGCGGTGTGGATTTCGTGGCCATGGTTCGATTACTTCGGTCCATGCTTTGTCTCCAGGACGAGCAAAAGATATACTATCAATTGGGTAATGGATTACAAACACAACTAGCTCATCAATGTTGTTGCTTCCAGGAATCTTTAAAACAATGAATTTTTGCACCAAAACTTTCATAGCCCAGGGATATCCCTCCATCATATCATCTGATGATGATCCGTCTGATAAGACTTCATCGAATGTGTAAGTATTTGAGTAAGGTGGCAAATCATACAACGAAGGGAGGCTTAATTCAGCTTTAGTAATAGGATTAAACAACTTAAAATTCATGTTGAAGTCTTGCGTCACAATCCACCCATAAGACGACCCCCAACATCTTTTCTCAGTTATCCCAGGAATCACCATGTCGTAGCACTTGTTTTTGCTGATGCTGAAAATTTTCCTACGATTCGACATGTCATCGTTGCTTGGCTCCGGCTCCAGCTCCAGCTCCAGCTCTGGCTCTGCTAGCAGCAACCAAGGCAAAGTTCAATGCATTTCAGTTTCAATGCATTTACACCGAGGATATCAGAGGGCAACACAGACCAAGCAGCCATCTACGCTAACCCACATTAAACAACACAAACACTACAAGATTATTAAATCAAATATTTGAGATATAATCAATATGCAAAAAATATATTTGGGAAGCTCAAAATCATTTCAGTTCATAACAAAGAATACATAAATTACATCCACCCCGTGCGATAAAGTCCAAATCAACCAAAAAAATTAATCTTAAATATACATTAATTGAAAAGATAAACAGGTAACAAACCTTTATATTAATCGAATTCTTATTATATATCCTTGAATATTTGTCGATTTGAGCCTGCCAAAAGGAGACTATATTGAGTTATTTGAAAACAGCAATTACACCAACTGAGTAATTAATCTCAAAATCAAAGACAAAATTGAACGAAACAGATTAAAGTAACAAAACCTTACCTTGGTTTTCTGTGTAATTGATTTCCCCTGCTTTAAACGAAAAACTCTCTATTTTTTTTTTTAATTATTCACTGAAGCTGGAAACTTGAATTTATTCCTACTGTAAAAACTTTTTAAACAATTATTAATTCTAATTACTTCCAGCTTTCCTAATTACTTTCCATATCATATAACACCAACTTTCCGCCAAGCACCAAGTGTCGCGCCACGTTGGATAGATTAAAATAGACTTCATAAGATAAAAAAAGTTAGTTTAGAATTCTATTTGGATAGAATTTTAGGATAAAATTGTTAGTTTATAGTTTTATTTTCGATAAAATAACAATATTAAATTGAATTATAATTATATTTTAAAATTGTTAGTTTATAGTTTTATTTTCAATAAAATACCAATATTAAATAGAATTATAATTTTATTCAAAATATTATTATTAGTTTTTATTACGTACCTACTACATAATGTAAATAAAAATTATCTTAAATTCAATAAAGACCCGTCACGAGATTGTGACACTTGGCGTTCCAATCAATTCCTAACTAATTTTGTATCAATGATATATTTTAAATATCAACATATAGATTATAAATTTATCATAAAATTCAATAAATAACCCGGGCATCGCACGGGGCACAAAACTAGTATTTCATAAATTGAATAACACATACAGTAATATAACTTTTCGTATATTTCATAAATTGAATAACACATATGGTAATATTTTAGTTTTTAAAATAAAAACAAAGGAAAGTTCTTATATGTAGTATTTTTAATAAATTTAATAACACAAAATATTAAGTCAAATAAATTAAGAAAAGCCTAAAAGGTAATTGTGTTTTTACAAATTCTATAAATAAAAAATAAAAATAAAAAACTACAATTTTTTTTTTAAACTTGAGCCACTTTGACTTTTTTTACAGGTCAAGTTAACCCTAAACCCATCTAAACCAAGTAGAGCGGTTAAATCAGGTCTACAAGTTGATATCAAGTTAGGTTATATGGTAACATAGGTTGGTTTGTTCATTCATATCACTTTGCATTTTTATCCGATTAACCTTAAGATTGATCAAATCAATTTGACTGCATGCCTCATTACAAAAATATAAGGGCCACTCGTTTGCAAAAGTGCAACTGAGGGAGGGGAGGAATGTAATAGGGAACCTAAAATACGTGGATTGGTGCACTTAATGTTAATGTTAAAATACTGAACCTATGAAAAAATACATAAACGGCGAAAAAGTCTGAATGAAATCTGAATATTGTACTATAAATTTAGCATCTTCAAATAATTGACTTTAGAGTCAATTTCTCGGAGCAGCAGCACCACCGCCTAACAAGCTTGCCAATGGTCCACCTTGACTCCTCATTTGCTCTTGAGCTTGTCTCATTTCCTCAGGATCTGCCAGGGATACAACATACATTATATACTGAAAGAAGCTCTCCATAAAGCAAAAGCCAAACTTAGAGTAGAGTCAAAGTATATGATAAGTTCAAAAATATACTGTTAAGGAGATGCATTTACACATTTATACCGGTTGCTCAGAAGAAAAAATTTATAAGCTGGTTAGGAAGTAGTTTTCCAGCTATATTAGCAGGAATTCTCCTCAACGATACTTTCCAGGATACTTTTAGGTATTTGCTTCTGTTATTTCTTGGATACACATAATTAGCAGGTGGTGCAGTCACAATTCACAAATAGATGCAATTCTATGTAAGCAAGAATAGAGTTAACTAATTTAAGAGTTCAGAACAGTTACCCATGTTTTCCATTAGTTTGGGCATCACGAAGACAACTAACAACATGAATCCAACCATAAGACCCATAGGGCTCTTCACTAGAGACAGGGGTGAGAAGGGTTCCCTTTTCTGTGGTTAGCAAAGCATGACCAATTGTGTGAGATTCACTGTTGGATAGAATGATACACTGTTGGAAGAATGATACTCCGTGATAAACAAGACTAGTTCATGGCTTACCTCATAGTAGTATTCCTCTCTCAAGGGCTCCAAAGCCAACTCAGACAACCCTCTTCTGGTTTCCGTCAATGCAGCCTGGACTTTTCCAGGGTTTCTAGCACTAACATCAACACGAACCTACACAAACAACATGAAAAAATACTAAACAGTGATTACCCATACCTCCAAAAAATAAAAACAAAAAACCTCATAAAATAGACATACCGGTGAAAAGAAATAACCAGTTGCAGCCACTTCAATTAGATGAGTGCCAGCTGGAACGTTATGGCTTTAAGCATAGTAAAGGAATAATTTATAGAGCAAGAGACAATTAAGTATTAGTGAATTTATTCTTCATTAGCATATGTATAAAACACAATTCAAGCAAGACATTGAGGATTGGCAAAAGGTTGTCAGATTAAGACCATCCAAAAGGAATGGCCCTATCCCTACAGATTTATATGAAGTCTTATAATGAAATAAATTGTATTCAAAATAAACATAAAATTTAAAAGTACACTTCGTAGGATCTACATGGTAGGATACAATGAAAAATATCCATCAGGCCTCAAAAATGTAACCCTTTGACCACCATTGAGTATCACTTTGATATTTGAAGTCTTTGCAGGCAAACCAAAATCTCTAGTCCCAAAATCTGCAAGGAAAGAAGTAGTTCAGTTTGTTGGATTTTTTCGTCAACATGAACCATAACATTATGCAAGGAAGAATCATCAGCACAGCAAAAAGTAATAGGATATGGGGATGTGATCCTAGTGTATAAAGTTGAAAGCAATAATTTTAGTTGTTGACATAACTATGTATACTATAACATAGCTGTCCTATTAAAAATCAGGAAATCTTAATCACTCTGTCCTATTAAAAATGAAAATGACAGAATAATGACCAATAACTTTCCACATTTGATAAATAGGATGCCATGTAGCTACTCCTTATATCCAATTCTTGTTAGTTTCACACTTTCACTTATAGTACATTTATGACGGGTTGTAATTTGAACCATCCATCGAGAATAATAGTCACATATGCCATAGCAAAATGTTTAAACAATTTTGTCACCGTTTCTAGAATAGTACTACGTGTAGTTTGTGACTGAATCTCCCAAAATATCCTCGCTAGAATTTAGTAATGTGAGGAAATGGGAATCGCCCAAAGTATAATAGAAGGTTATTTAGCAGAATTGTATAATACAAAGTAGATATATCCTTAATTATGAGGGGTTTGAGCTATGTAAATTATATCTGGACTAATGATTAGTTCATACAGATTATCAACGTAGTCACTCACTGTCTGCCATTAAGTCATTCATACTAGTCATTTAGTAATTATTCATATCTCTTAGAAGTTAGAACATCTATTTCATCTTTGCCTACAAATTTTCTCCCTAAAAAACAGTTTTGAAACCATCATGGAAGTAGTGTTAGGTAGTTAAAAGCAAGTGTATTGCACGGATTTCATGTGCTATTTTGTTAGCAACGATTACAATCCAGCTGATATTAAAAGGCTTAGTTTGTGTTGGTTTGGGAATTATACATTGGTTATCATTCTAATGCAAATCTCTCTTCTTTACACCTAATTATAGCGTTATTGGTTTGTTTCAAAAAAAAATAGCGTTATTGGTTAATCACTTTCTAAAATCCAACTAACAGCACTTAGATGTCTCGAGCCATACTACTAAGTTGTAGGCCTTGTAACTTGGTTCAATGTTTTGTCTACTCCTGTGTAAAATTCACCATGATTGATGATTGAATTACAAATTCTGCAGGCTAAGAATACAACCATTGGTGAAGACCAAAGAACTGATAACGGAGCTTCTACTCAGACCTCTAAAGCTGAGCTCTTCATCAGTTTTAAGCAAAATCCTATATATGATTGAACAATCGCTTTGTGCCCTTAGTATTAGCACCAATTAAAACATCTTTCATAGTTCATACTTTTTTAATACCTATTACCAAGTACAAACTTTTCCAAAGAAAGCTACTGTCGGGAATTATTCTTAATCTCAATAATAAGAGAGCTTTGACTTCTCAACCTCTCTTCACAACATGTATCAATATTGCCACAAAAACCATAGCTAGTTTGGTTATCATTTCACTAGATCAACCCAAAGCTAACAGTCTAACACCCATCAACAAGACACCGACCTACCGCGAGATATGAGATGTCAAATTAATCCAAAGAGACTAACTCCAACCAAATAAGCTACTCAGTTAGCCCCCCAGCGCACGGCCACACTACACAATACATGGAGAAATTCGAATGATATTGAATGTATTAGTAAAACCTATAGACAAATTTATCTCATCTTACAATACTCTAATAATTCAAAAGCTTCAAGTAATTCAAAAATCAACAACAATGTCTTCAATTATAATCCATATAGGTCAACCTATAATTTGTTGTGCTATGATTGTTTCAATAATCAGATTCAAACCCACATAAAAATCCAGTCTTTCAATTTAAGAAACTAGCAAACTGTACATTAATTAATGACATAAATTCTCAATTAAAATTATTCAGAACAGAAAACAGAGGGTCAGAATAATCGTACTTGGGATTTTTACTCGACCATTGATAGTGAAACCATCATTCAGCCTGAAAAATCAAAGTAATCAACAAAATTAATATGATGTAGATCTCAATAATTGGCAATTTAGTTCAAAAAACAAAAAAAATAACTGTCATATAATAGAATTTGGAAGAATAATTAGACATACCCAGATGAGAAAGCGAGAGTTGTTGGCAGAAGAACGCAGAAACAAAGCGTTAGAGAAAGAGAAAGAAGAAGATTGGATCTGTTTATCGTCGCCATAGCAGAAGAGTTCGAAGCAGTCAATCCGCTTTTAATTTAAGTCGATATGCGTTTTGTGCGTGGCTGACCACTTATTAAAAAAACAAAGTAATCCTGTAACACTAACTCGATAAACTCTTGTAATACTGACCAAGTAATCCCTACTATACTGACGAAGTAACCCTGGTAAAACTGAACGAGTAACCCCTATAACACTAACAAAGTAACCCTCATAATGGATGGTCACACCGTGCGGCTAGCCACATATAAGACTTTGTGTAATTTTAATCACTCTAAATTAGATTAATGTAAGGGGTCGTTTGGTTCGCGTGAGGGAATCGGAATGGAATGAACAAAGGGATAGGAGAAGAATGGAATGAAAATACCTTTTTTTGCTTTGTTGTTTGTTTTTAAAACACAGGGAATCAATCCCCCACCACACCACCACACCACCACCACCACAATCACAACACCACCACACATTTCATCTTTCTCAGCCACCAAACTCCTCGTCGGCCATCCCCTGTCACTTTTTTTTTAACACCTAGTAATTGGCACTTAGGTGTCATTAATTTTAATCACTCTAAATTAGATTAATGTAAGGGGTCGTTTGGTTCGCGCGAGGGAATCGGAATGGAATGAACAAAGGGAAAGGAGAAGAATGGAATGAAAATACCTTTTTTTGCTTTGTTGTTTGTTTTTAAAACACAGGGAATCAATCCCCCCACTACACCACCACACCACCACCACCACAATCACAACACCACCACACATTTCATCTTTCTCAGCCACCAAACTCCTCGTCGGCCATCCCCTGCCCCACGCCGGCACTCCCCCTCCCCTCGCCGCCCTTCCCTTCCCCTCGTCGCCGCTAGTCACGTGAGCCACGACCTCCCCTCCCCTGAAAAAACCTCCCCTAGCGACTAGGGTTTCGAGGGTGGTGGGAGGGCTGGGCGGCGGTTTTCGGGGTCAAGGGAGATCGGGGATAGGGTTTTGCGGGGCTAGGGGAGGTTTTTTCGGGGGAGGGGAGGTCGGCGAGGCTTGGGGGAGGGGGGGCGGTGGTCGGGGAGGGGCGGCGGTGGTCTAGGTTGGGGCGACGGTGGTCTGGGATGGTTTTCCGGTGGTGATGTGGTGGTGTGAAGGTGGATAGGAAATGGGAATGGAAATACCTAGGGGGGTGGGGAATGAAGTTGGAAGGATTTGGGGTAATGGGGAGGGTTAAGGGAATGAATAAAAGTGCTAAACAAACATCAACAAAGGGAATCGGGCTAGTTGATTCCCATTCCCTTTCCTAATTACCCCCAACCAAACGGCTCCTAATTATATTAATCGCAACATTTTACTTTCTCAATATGCAACTTTGGTAATTTGGTTACACAAGTAACATCTTATAGTAAATTAAATATACATAGTAATATTTCAAAAATATACACTACAAATGATAATTCAATATTGTTTTATCTAATCTAATTAAGATTTTGTTGTAGACATGATACATAGTGTAAAATATACATATTGTGATTAATAGGAAATATAGAGTCACGTGCGTCCTTTACTCCTCTGTTGCCTCGAAATTACAACATTTTGAATTTTGATTAGTACATTTGTCAATGTATATATTTAACAATATACTCGGTGTTTGATTTTACATTATTCTATACTAAAACTTTGATAGAAATGAAAGTATACTTTTATATACTATTGAAATTTTTGAGATATAAAGTAAATTTATAGGAAAGTGATACATACAACCTAATCACTTTTAATAAGAAACTAGAAAAGGATATAATAAACAAAGGATTATAATAATACTATTTCCAAACCGTATTCCATATCACACTCTGAAATGCATTAAAAACTTCTGTACAAGGTTTGGATATATCATTATCCTATTTTCATAAAAAAAAAAAAAAAAAAAAAACTCGTTTGGTTTTTGACGTCCTTTTGATGTTGTGAATCTTGTGAGTTACTGAGTTGTGATAGTGATCACGCTTCTTTAGGGTTTACTCTTACTGTTAGGGACTAATAGGAAGGGGTCTTTTTGGCCCATATATAGTGCTTGGGATGCCAAATTTGGACCCTGAAAGTGGGAGGTGAAAATCAAACTTCACAGTGACTTTGAAACAAAATTGACTTAATTTTTATTTCAAATCAATACAATATCAAAGTATATATACACAGAGGATGCAACTGCAACACCCATACAAAAACTGGTTTTTTTTTTTTTTTTTTTTTTTTCTTTCTTTCTTGTTGGTAACTAACCTTCTGACTATCATTATTCATATTTCACCAAGACATGATTTAGATTACATTATTTTGCTCTTTTATATTCTGTGCAAATGTCGTTTACCCCTTGGGAGTTCACGCTCCTTTTTTTATGACACTTCTCGCCCAAAGAGCAAGGCTGATGACGAGAAAAAAGAATATGATACTCAGTTAAGTGTAGTTCCGGCAACGTTATAAACCCAGCTTCTTTGAGCACCAATCTGAAAGATTAGCAATTACAAATCCGCCAAATACCTGAAATGTTGAGCGTTCCCATGAACATGTTAAAGCAATATTGATTGAAAATTGTAAAACCTCAAAACAATGCATGCCTACAAATGTTTTTAACAGGAGATTTGGGAATCCCAACAGGAAGGAGAAAGAAGTATGAGTATTTGAAGAACAGCCAAGTCATCTGAGCCTAGGCATTTACGGTTTGATTTGGTACACATTAATGATTAGAAGCATGACAATAAAATTATGTTCTGGCACAAATTATCCTACATAAATGTCCATGATAAAGCATCTCCATTTGTAAATTTAATTTTTTTTGCCAAAGAAGCTCGTATTTTGACTTTTGAGGAAGTAGTAACTCTAGTAAGCAATGAAGGAAAACTGCATCTATGTAAGCGGAGATGCATAAACTGGGCATTCAGATGAGGCATTTATGTCAAATTAACACCAAAAGGGCTGTCAGTGGAAATAATTATCAGAACATCGGCCAGATTTTAGTAAGGGTATCATCCAACAGTATACTACTATACTCTTAGTAGTACCACAAACAAGACCATGAGAAAAAAGAGGAAGGCATTAAGAAACAACCACCATTTCAGTAGAGAATAGGAAGTGTGAGACTCAACTCATAAGGACTTTATGCACAACTAATGTATTTTTTAAACTCATTTAATAAGTTGGCAAACTCAACAAGTAAAGAAAGCAGAAACAACTCTCTTTGTCAGTAATTGGAAATGAAAATTATCTTGTCAATCATATTTCTTACTATGTACAATAAATTAAATTTGAATCTAAATTGATGAAGTTACCTGGATAGAGCCAAGAACATAGACTATGGAATAATGGCGACCATGTATAATCATATCAGCCAACATTGCAAGAGGGATCGTAAGCGACATACCCAAAGTTGCAACCAGAGGAGTTGTCCATACAACAGATAGTGCCCTGATAAGAATAGGTGAATTAGTATGTTAAGAGTTAACTGAAAAAATAAACCATTTATTAGAAGGATTTGGAAAAGGACTAAATACCAAAAGTAATCAGATAGAACGCTTCCAATCAGTCCATTTGCAAGAACAACCTCGTCTGTTTTAGCAGAGTGAGGTATAGTGAACTTTGGTTCAATCCCTAAAATCGTCAATGGCCACACTGAAAGACAAATAGCAGAATAACTGTCATTCAACCAAACAGGAAAATAAAATATAGCTCCTCACAAGGCACATGGAAGAAAATCACATACTTCAGCAAACAAAGAGAATCAGAAACAGTTAATCAGCACTGCACTAGCATTTTTATCACAATTTTTACCCTTTGTTCCAGAATCACTTGTAAAATCAAAGAAAGATCACTTACCAAGCCACCAAAGGGCTATTAGAGTAAAGAAACCAATGTATCCAAAAAGTTTCTGAACATCCACTTTTCCTTCTTCCTCACCGGCAAACTTTTTCAGTAGCACTGCAAAATTAATAGGATTGTAAGCATTGCAGGGGGCGTCGCCGCAGGGTGCTAACAATAACAAATTGAAGTTTTAAATGTAGCATCTTACCAGTGAAAAGCCCATATGACATAGCTGAGAGAAGCCCAAAAAGATCCCCCACGAGTGAACGTTGACCATCGCTGGAAAAAATTTTAAAAATTTGAATTGTCAAACAGTAATCTAATTCACAAACATTGAAAAGAACACCAGAAGCAGCATGAGTTATCCTAGTAGATGCCAGAATGTGAATAGCATACTTTGGGCTTCAGCTAAAGAGATGTTACATCATAACCTATGTAAATGCCTGCTTGTTGCTATGCCAAACTAGCATCTAAACTAGAATTTCTATATAAGGCTATGCTTGGAGTGAGAGGAATGAAATATGGTAATAAGGGGTTACAAGAATCAATTAGGCGGCTTCTAAAAGGTGGTGATGGAGGTTGTTAAAACTTGGTGGAGGAACCAAATGCCCACATAAAGGAGTATACACCCCTCCAATTTGGCAGGTGACATAATGACCTCCCTAACTAATTTACATGATAGCTTACGCTCCTCACCAGCTTGAGATTCAATTCTTAAATTGATTCTTCACATTTCTATGGCCTAAATGTGATAACATTAATTTCACAGTTTACTATATAGTCACAATGATTAAGAAAAAGCTTATGGGGAAATAATGGCAAGCCAACTATTGACAAAGTAAAATGGTCCATAAACAATAGAGGAACAATTAGTCTTAAATTAAAGTAAACTACTTGTAGCATTAAATTCTAAACTGATGAATGGCAATGAACATGCAAGACAATAACTTGTGTAAACAGTTGCTAATTGATATAAATTGCAACCAAAATTTTTCATATTGTGCAACCAAAATAATACTAACTTGACATAATGGATTTTTCAAAGATAAGTAATCTTTTATTGTGCTCCTATATTTGTGCACTAGACAAATGGGGATGAGGCTGAAACAGAAGTAAAGTGGATCATCCTGTAGCATACCACCTGACACATCACTGATGTACTTAATAGAAATGACAAAATTACAGACACTTCAGAAGATTTACCTTGAACTACTAAGTTCCGACTCATCTGAGGCCCAAGTTTTCCCC